CCGCCCCCAGCGCGGGTTGTTTTTGTGCTCCGCAGGGAGGAGCCCTTCCTGCCGGCGTGGAAACCATGGTGCTCACGCTCGGAGAAAGTTGGCCGGTATTGGTGGGGAAGCGATTCCTCAGTCTGTCCGCGGCCGACGGCGGCGACGACAGCTGGGACGTGGAGCGCGTCGCCGAGTGGCCCTGGCTGTCCGGGACCATTCGCGCCGTCTCGCACACCGACGTGACGAAGAAGGACCTGAAGGTAACCGCGGCTCCCGAGCCGAGCCCAGCCGGGCCGCGGCGGCGGGACGGGTCGCAGTTACCTTGGTAACGCGGCGGTCAGCCCCTGCCCTCCCTTTGCTGGAAAAGGGCGACCAGAAAGTTGGCATCTGATCTGAGGGTGCCGAAAAGTAGACCTTCAAAGTCTCTAAGTGGTTGTGTAGAGCCGAGGTGGGTTTGGCCTAGAGTTCTTGGCTGCCTGCTTAATAATGGGCTCTGGGTTGTTGAGACACGCTTCATTAATGCCGGCACTGTGCCCCGCAGGACTGTCTGTTTATTTCTCCGGAGGGAGGAGCATTGTTGTTGGTACTGGCAGGGGCAAGTGGGTGACGTTTGGCGTCGTTAGGAATGGAGGGCCAGTGCTTGCAAGTGCTTTCAGATGGTTTTGGAGGTTTGTTCTTAATTTCTTCACCCAACTTTTTTTTAAAACAACTTACAAATTGTTAAAAATGAATGAGCGCAGAGGGAGGAGCTTAGCTCTGTTTGGGTCTATGGTGGGTCAGGGCGGGCAGGCTTGGGTTCCCAGTTGTCTACGAGGAGTGTAGGTGGGTGTGGAGGGTGACCATATAAGGAGGGAGGGGGTGGAGCCGACCCATATATGGTGTGGTGGAGGAATGGCTTCGAAGTGTTGCGCTGGGGTGTTCGCGGGAGGGAGGGAAATGGGAACAAGTGCGGCCAGTGATTTTCAAAATGTGAGTGACACTCACTCGGAACCCTTTCCAGTTAGATCTTTTGAAAAAGGGATGAATTCTAATTGTTCTCTCTAGTAGAAGTATGGGTGTGAAAAGATTGTCTGGGAACAACCAGTGAGGAAGCTATTGGACCAACAAAGACTCCTTTGTGCAAAAACAACTGAAAAAAGATCCCTAACAAAGACTCCAAAGTGGTGATAACTTGAAGGAAGCTTGTCGGAACAGAAGCTGTTTCCCCCGAGTAATGCATGTGTTCAGGATCTTACTTGGTCACCACGTCTTTGCTTTTTCTTAAACTCTGCTCAAAGGCTGCAAGTTTTAGTGTTGGCAGTTTAACGTATGTTGGTTTCGGAAACACTTCATCTGAACACGTGCGGGTTAACAGTGGGGAGAGGGTATGTTGTACAGTTTTAAAGCTTCCACCATGTGCCTCTTCTTCATGTTGGAAAGGAGGCTTGAGCACTAAACACTTGACCACCTTTTAACATCGTGCCCATCACTCAGCAGCCATGATCTTATTTAATCCGGTGCTGTGGGGTAGATACTAGTATGGGTCCCCTCCCCTTTTTTTGGCTTGTGAGAGTACTGTGCCTAGAGAAGATTAGGTATTCTTGCCTAGGGTCACATACCTGGGAATTAGCATAGCCAGAGTATTTTGAGAGGTTTACTTGTTTTTTTCCTCCAGTCCATTCATTCTTCTACCAAATGAGGTTTTCTTGGGTATTGACAGCATTATTGTGCAGGATGGCCAACCTATTTGCTTTCTACTAATAACTATTTATATAAGGTGAGCTTTGTGTACCAGATCATAGTTGTAGTTTATTTCATCTGTCAAGTAAAATTTTCTGTAGTACATTTGTTTAATCATATTTGAAAGGAAATGATACAGACTTCCTAAACTTCAGCTCTCGAGCAGATGAAAAGAGGCTGTCTCCTTCCCTTTCTTTCCCTGGCCATGATGGAGGACTTGTTGGTTTAGGTAGCAATTTAGGAGGTCTGTAACATGGATTCTTTTCTGTCTCTATCCCTGCTACCCCACACCTGAGGAGGAAGTGATACCTTCATTTTTTAGAATGAGCAGGTAGTTTTAGGAGGGCTTTCCTGGCTAGCTACCATGGAGGAAGAATTTGAATCTGAATTTGGCTGTGTTTTCTCTACTGCACTAAATGGCTAACTTGGAGACAGCTGGAACTTCAAGAACAATATTGGTCATGTTGGATTTTTAACCTTGCCTGCAGACTTCACAGTCCATCTCTCATGTAAGGAGCAAATCTCTTTCCTAGCCAGGACTTACCACCACGTTCCTTAGCTGAGTAGTAGATACACTTACTGGCTTCATATACGGAACATGTTGTATTTAACAAAAACAGACCAGTTGTGCTTGCTGAGATGCAGACAGAAAAACTTGAGACCATGCTTACATCTGGGCTTAGTTAGGGTCATTGAGGTGTTTAGGGGGCTGGGATTGGAGGCCAGCATGAGTATGAGTAAAACTCAGTTGGTGTGCAACTCTTCTTCCAGTATTACTAATATACAAATCTCTCTCCACTGGCTTGCTTAGTTGAGAATGATACTAAGGAACTTAAGGCTTGTTAACTTAGTTTCAACTGGGAAAAGACTGTTGCAGTCACTTAGATGATAAAAAGTTAATTTGTCTGGTTGATTGCTGTGAAGTTAAGTTGAAGACATTGTAACTGTAGGTAAGTGATCAAATGGTTCTTCTGTGGCAAGTACTTTAATCCTCACATGTTCTACTAAGACTTGCTTCTTACTATGGGAAACTGAGGTTTAAAGAAGTCACATTAAGTTGTCCAGGTTTATCTCCAGGCCTTAAATACTGGGCTTTAATTTTCAGGGAGAATGAGATTACTTTATTTTGACAGCATCTGTATCCCTAATACTGAGAACATTTCTTGACATGTAATGTGCCCTCAAATATTTGAGTGAATGAATGAAGGAATCACAAAATCATTTTAGAAATAATGTACAAGTGGAGCAGAGGCATCTTCTACATCTAGAATATCAACAGATCTTAATTAAATGTGGTTAGAAATACCTCTTCAATCTTACTTTTGTCCTACTCTTTACTAAAGTGTGAAGCAAGTTCTTTCCTAACTGGCTTTATTCACCTAATTAGGGATGCTGGGAATGCCCTCTTTCCCCAATTTGCCTAAGTAGGTCTTTATCTTCCTTTTGGTCTTACCTTTCTCTTGAGTCTTCTGCCTTTCCGTAGTCCATTTGCGTATATGTAGCAAGTAGTAGTCTTTGCCATCTGTGTGCATCATTTCCTCTTATTGTCAAAGATTGGGTGCCTTGACCAATTCTAGTCTTGGAGAGTAGTGAGATTAGTGGTACTGTATTCTGCATTGTCGAGCTGGGTACAGAGTTGATATATAATTTAACATTTCTTAACTTAAAAACCATGTTTTTCTGTGTTTTCCTACTTTTAAACGTAGAAACATTTTCTTTGACATTCTGATGATGTCATAGTCATACTTCGGTAAGATGAGTTTATGCTAGGATTGCGAAGTTTTGAGATTAGGTTGATTAATTATAATATTAAATCAGGTATGGAGAAGAGATTTTCTGGGGCTGGGGATTTAGCTCAGCGGCACAGCACCTGCCTGGCAAGCGTCTGCCTGGCAAGAGCGAGGTCGTGAGTTCCATTCCTGGTACTGGGGAAAAAAACAAAACAAAACAAAAAAACAGAAGAGATTTTCTGTTGGAGGAAAATTAGTTTGAAGTAATTAAATTGAAATATCCAACATCTAGTCCAGATAGTTGACAGGCTAATAAGATACACATTTACAAAATGCCCTATTAAAAGAATAGCAAACTTAAAATTTTATAAAGTAAGAAATCATGATCCTTTGGCCTCTTCTTGGCCTTTAGTATCAGATCATAAATAGCATCTCTTTGTAGGCCCAGGGAAGTGGCAGAAAAGATACAATAAAACTAGTTGATACAATGTACCAACTTGCATAAGCATGGTCAAGGCACTTTAGCTTAAAAAATACCTTTTAATAGACATATCTGCAGGCTATTGCTGGGAGTTGCTCTTAAATACAGAATCTCAGACTTGGAGTCACCTGGCTGTGGGTGTGTCCAGTGCTGGGGTGGAACCCAGGGCGTGGTACCTGATAGGTAGGCATTGCATCACTGAGCTACACTCCCCACCCTAGAAAGACATACATGGTCTTGATAGGGAACCTTTGAAAGAGTGTTGACAAAAGTATACAACTTTTAGGTTATGGTATGTACATCTTTAGAGAGTTACCTTTTCAAATGAAAATATTTGTGCAATTTTGACAAGCACCACTTTCCTAGGAGCTAAATTTTTTTCTCAAAGCACTGACAGATTGAGATATGAATAATGACCTTGTCTGAATTTTGGTTTGCGTTATGTTGAATTTTAAATAGTGATCTGCTAAAAAGTAAGGGGGGTTTGGTTCGGTTTTTTTTTTTTTTTGAGATAGGGATTTGCTATGTAGTTCAGGCTTGCCCAGAACTCATGGCTCAGCCCCTCCAAGTGCTAGGGTTACAGGTGTACGCAACCGTGTCCAGCCTCTCAGCCTCTGCTAACGCTTGTGATGTTGCTTGAGCACTGCAAATTGCTTAAGATCTTAATCCTTCACTTTTTTTCCTTACATGTTGAATAAATATTACATAATAATGTTGAAGACCCTCTTTTATTCACTCTTAACTGATGAAATGATATGCTAATATTTAAATAAATTGGTGGGTCTTAAAACTAATTGTCTTGCCATATACTTCACATGCATTATTTTTTTTTTTTTAATTCTACCAAACTGTTGTGGAGGTAGATGTTATTGCTTTTATTTTGAAGTGAGTGAAATGAGATTCAGAGGACTTAGACTTAAGCAAAGTCCTTAACCTGGGGTGCAAGTTAACTGGTTTTCTTTCTTTTTTATTTAATTAAAAAATTTTTTTTGGAGACATGGTCTCCCTACATAGCCCAGGCTGGCCTTGAACTCATGGCAATCGTCCTTCCTCAGCCTCAGTGCTGGGGTTACAGGAGTGAGCTACCATGCCCAGCTTGTTTTTCTTTTAAGCATATGTTTTATTTTATGCGTAAAAAGTCATGGAAGCATCAGCACATCTGGGATTCAGACCTAGCTCTTTCTGACTGACAGATTGGAAAACGGGAGTTAAAAGCTAAGTCGGGTTTCAGGTTGATGAGATTACAGGGCAGAAAGACAAGTCTAGGGGAGATGTGGTAGAACTTGAGTTCTGTTGCAGAGACATAGAAGATGGACAATCCTTGCACACCTTGTGAAAGACCATTTGGTTGATTACAGTGGTAGAAGATACACAGGCAGGGGTATAGGTCTTCACCTGGTTCCATTTGTTCTCATCTGAAGGTTAGTAAGAACTACAAAGGTAGAAACCTGTGTACCAAGAAGTTGCCTAGAAAGTAGGGGATACACATTTGTTGGGGTATAAAGGTAGGGTGGGTCTTAAATTTACTGATTTTTTTTTTTTTAATGATAGGCAGTCATTCTACCTCAACCTCCTGAGTGCTGGGATTACAAGCGTGCACCACCATGCCCAGCTAGTTTAACTGATTTTTTAAAACATGTTCTGTAGGGTGGAAAAGATTTGGGATTAGAGCTAGGATTGTCACCAGGTGAAAACTTACTGCCATCTAAGTGAGTTTGAGAAACAGAAAGTAGGAGTCCATTTCAGAGAGAAATTTATGTGTTCATTCTAGCAAGTATTTGAGTAATGATTAGGGCCTGTCTAGCAGTGATTCACAACAGTAAGGAAAAGTGGAACACAGCTTTGGACCTCCTCAAACTTTTGTTAGTCAGCCAACCAATAATAATGCCAAATGTGGACAGGTGCTCGGAAGGAAGAGTGCACAGCTTTGAGTACGGTTAGCAAGGGGGTTTCTCATGGGGGAGAGAAGCCCTTGGTAAGGGAAGGCTTTGAGGAAAGGGTTCTTGAATAGGGTTCTGATAGATGAAGTTAACGATGTAGTTAGTAAACTAGATGTTAAGATGAGACATGTCTGTGAAATCATGAGCAGATTTAGTAATTATTGGCTTGAACCCCAAAGTGAGAAGCCTTTCTGGTCAAAGGAATTTTAAACCATAGATTTTTTTTTTCCACTGTTCAACTGTTGGTTGAGGCAGTAAGTGTGTTTTGGGTGTATATATATATACACATGAGCTTTAAGGTTTTGTGAACAGCTCCCATCTTTGGGTCACTGCCGGACACCTACTTTTGTACTGATTTTTTGTTTATGTTCTAATATATTCATGTAAGTTGTAAGAGTTGTAGCCTTAGAGTTAAAAGGTATTCTGCAGAGCCGGTCATGGTGGCTCACACCTGAAATCCCAGCACTTGCGAGGCTGAGGCAGAGGATGATCAACAGAGTTTGAGGGGCCAAACTGGGCTACAAAGTGAGTCAAGCCCAGCCTGAACTACATAGCTAGATCCTGTCCCCACCCCGCAAAAAGTATTCTGCATGTTAAAAGCAGGAAACGTCACAATTACTTGGAAACCAGTATTTGAAAGGTGGTTTAACTTAGACGGTCTGGAGTAGAGCTCAGAGGTAGAGACTGCCTACCATGTGAGGCCCTGGGTTTATCCCTGGTGTCACAAATACTCTGGGATAATTGCTTAATTACTTATTTCTGTATTTAGTAGACATAAAAATAGTTTTGGATTCCCAACTCCTAGGAAATGTTCCCAATTGTTCAACTGAAAGGGATGCTGAAGATGTGCCATGTGTTAGGCTGTGCTAAGTCCTTGGGAAGCCTAGAAGAATTCAAAAGCAGGTGGTGGGTTGTGGTGCTAGGAGAGACATCTTAAGCCCACTTGCATTGTCAACAGAATTACAATACAGTGCATTGCAGTAAGAACTACTTTGGGTTTCAGATTTGTGTCGTCCAATTCCCAAAGCTCACTTGTCAAATTAACATATATAAAGCACTTCTGAGAAGGGGTTCTTCGGTTGCTGGGCTTTCCAGAGGTTACTTTGAGGGCACTGGCCTCAAAAGCCCTGGAGTTCTGCGTCCCAGAGTAGTTTCAGATCCAAAGCTTGGTATGCAAGTATTTCTCTTATTGTGAGCTGTGACAGGAATTAGAAGGGGACAGTACCTCTAGACAGAAGATTTAGACAGGATAATAAGGGTATAATTCAGCAGCATTTGTAATGTTTACTTCTGTTAATTCTTTTTTCAATTTTGTCAAGGTGTGTGTGGAGTTTGATGGGGAATCTTGGAGGAAGAGAAGATGGATGGAAGTCTACAGCCTTCAGAGGAGAGCATTTTTAGTAGAGCATCATTTGGTCTTGGCTGAACGAAAGTCACCTGAAATTTCTGAACGAATTACTCAGTGGCCTGCAATAGTGAGTACAACTGACTTTACTGATGAGAAGAGAAGCACTTCATCGTTTGGGTCCATGTATGTGATGGGGGCAAGAGTCAGAACACCTAGTTGCCTAACTTGTCTGAGTCCTGGGGCTCAGTCCCCAGTATTGAACCAGAAAGAGAAGCGCACTCACCACCTTCTGCCAGTCCCATTATCAGGTTCCAGACTCGGGGCTGGTCCCTTGGCTCTTGAAGGCCTTATTTTCTCCACTTGAAAATGGGGTTGGAGGGAATTTTGGGAATGTCTACATGAGGGGGCAGAAATGAGCAGTCATACAAACAGTAATTGCTTTAGCTTGGCTCAGTTAGTATTTTAAGAAAATTTGAGTTGTGCCGAATTCATGGTAGCCTGGTGCGATTGGAGGAAACGAGTGATGCCTGTACCTGGAGAGGACCGTTACGGATGTATGGGCCATGGACTGGGGCTTGAAGGAGGAAGAGTTGTACACGTACAGATGGTTGGAAGGGCTGGGTGGCCCTTTGAAAGCTGATCACATTGTGAAGGGCCTTGTAGAGCTAGCAAAGCTAAGATTTTGCCCACAGTGAGAACTGCTAGAGATGCTTGAGTGGAATGGGATTGTGGTTAAAGTTGTAGCTTGCTTTTTGTATTTTCTTGCCCAGCTATTGAGAAATTTCTAAAAACAGCCTTAACTCCCGGAAGAATATACTACATACATACGTTTTTTTTGGCATATATTTCTTGGGAAACCATGGATCTGTAGGCCCATACATTAATGATTCCCCAAAGTGTATTGGGTTTGAATAAAAACTACATCATCTTGTGGCTGCATAGTTATGAGATCCTTAACAGTAAATAAAATACTTAATGGCCTTGTCACTTTGTGTGTGGAAAATTGCCAAGCTCCTATTTTCAGAATAATGCTGGTAGCAGTTCCAACACCAAAACATTTTGTTTTGTTTTAGATGTACAAATCTCTATTGGACAAAGCTGGTTTGGGATCTATAACTTCTGTTCGCTTCCTAGGAGATCAACAAAGCGTATTTCTTTCCAAAGAGGTTTTGAAGCCTATACAGGTAAGACATAGGAACAGTAGAAAGCCATAAAAATAGACACACACATTTTTTTAGCATGAGAAGCAAAGTGCTGATGTTGACTGCCCTCATTCAAATGCCCAGTAGAGAAAAGAGCCCCCGCTAAAGAGTTGTTGGGTAGCGTCTGTCAGTGTTAGCCTTTGGGTTAATGATACTCGGAGTGGAAGGGACAGAGGTGCTACAATTGATAGTTGGTGCGTGGAAACAGCTAGGGGATATGAGCGCAGTTGCTCAGAATTGACTGTCATTCATAGTTGTTTGTGTGCATGCGTACGTATGCACATGTAGTCAGCCTTACTATTCATGATGTCTCTGGGACTTTGTCGACTTGCTTACACATGTTTGTAACCCCTAAATCAGTAGATGTGGTGGCTCATGGTAATTTGTAGTTACACACAGGGCAGCAGTAATTTTAAGTGCCCCACGCCTGTTCCCATTGAGGTCAAATAAAGTGATGTTCTTCTGCTTTCTTGGTTTAGTTCTCATGCTATAAACCAGGATCCTTTTTGCTCCTTATCTAGTGCTATGTGTGTTTTAAATGTCCCTAACCCTAATGCTAAAGTGCTGTCTGGCCTTCATAAGTGCAAGGAGGCTGTGATGGGTCTTAAGAAATACGTACATTAGATATATATCATTCAGCCACGAGTTCTAGTGCTTTTGGCCATGAGTTCAAGGTTAATGAATCAGCAGTAAATACTAAATAAGGTATCTCTTAACAGAAACACACATAAAACAAGGTGGTTATATATTGATCCATTGATGAAAATGTGACCAGAATCTCCTAGGATTCCTCTGTTTCTCTCAAGAGTAATGGTTCATTGCTCTGTATTCACTGTTTTTGGCAACCCAATAGAATACAACTATTGCAGCTAATGAGAATGACAATGTACATGTATATTCTTGGCAACAGCCTGTAGGCGCGTGGGTCTTGCTTGTATGTGATTATTTGTTGTGAAAATGTTGAAAGGAATGCCTGCAGAATAATGTTGCTTTTGTATATTCCCATTCATCTTTTAGGTATCATTTATGAAACTTACTAATCTCTTTTACACAATTGTATGTGATCTCAGATCTCACTCTCTTCTATGGTGTGTAGCACTGTTAAACCTGTCTGTTTGCTGCAAGGCAGTTTGGGGTCAATGGTCATTGGGTTGCTGTGCCTATATTGGAAAGTCCAAAGCACTGTCTTTCTATTTGCATTTTTATTTCCATGTCCTGGAAGTGAGGGAAAATGAGGCCTATAATGTGGACTTTATTTTATGTTTGAAGTAAGTGAAATGGAAGAGGATGATTTCAGATGCAGGTTACATACGTATGTTAGAAGAATGACTTGCTTCTAAGGAGCAAGGACAATACAGGAGTGTTGTGGATGTTTTGTTTTACTGAGTAGTATAGTTCTTACTTTGGAGCATTGTTTTCTAAATTTTCCTCTTTTATGTGTGCAAGCTCTTCAGTTAAGGTCAGAGCTCTTAGTTTTGTTTCTTGAAATGGAAAAGAAAAATCTAGAGGAGTACATTTTTATTTGTTCTCTGGGAGGAGAACTGTTCTTGGCCGTATGTATCCGTTTTACAGTGGTGGAAAAGGGTGAAGGCCCTGCAAGGGCTTCTGTGTTAAGCACTGTCTTTGCTTTGCCCTGCTAGAATCTGGGCTTGGCAGGTTATTCCTATTGACAGTTTCTGTATACATTTGTCATAACTGGGTGTGCACACAAAACCAGAAGACTGTGGAATAGTGCCAAGAATGGAGCTTCTGCCAAGAATTTGGGTATTTCAAAACTGGTTTACTGTGAAACCTTAGACTAGTCATTCACACTTTCTGTTTGTCTCCTCACCTTCCTTACCTTTTATAAAAGAATGCATTTGGAACTCTAGTTAAGTAAAATGAATCTGTGTGATAGGAGTTATTAATAATAGCAGTTGAAATGAATTGACAGTATTCATCTGTCTTTTGTGTCTTACCTCTGTCTTTTGCCCCCACAGATTTGGATCTGTGGTTTCCCCATCCCCAGTGTCGGGGATGTAGAGTGTTTTTACTTGGGTTGGCCAGTTTAGTTTGTTTGCTTGTGATTTTCCTGTAACCAAGGATGTGTCATGTGCCATACTGTGCCTTAAGCCACTCTTAGAATTTCTCCTGCTCTTGGCTTAGGGTGATTTCACTTCAGTCTGCCTTATGCCTATGATTGTATGATAGTTCACTGGAGTTGGAATGGTCTGGGATCAAAAATGGCCACTTTAACCTTTTGGTTTCTGGTTTTTTTTTTTTTTTTTTTTGTCTTTTTGAGACAGGGTCTCCCTATGCAGTTCAGGCTGGCGTTGAGCTCACCTTGTATCCCAGGCTGGTCTCGAACTCACAACAATCCTCCTGCCTCAGCCTCCTAAGTACTGGGATTACAGGCATGCGCCACCACGCCCGGCTCTTTAACCTTTCTGATTAAACTAATTAATATATCCACTGCAATTTTTAAACACTTGCTTCCTTAAAATGTAATGATCTTTGATTTTACAGGACGTAAACAATCTTCGGCTTTCCCTTACTGATAATCAGAAGGTCAGTAAGGAATTTCAAGCCTTGATTGTGAAACATTTAGATGAAAGCCATCTTTTACAAGGTATGTGTATGATCTGTTGGTGACAGTTCATGAATTGATCAATAATTAGCATGTAAGAAATTAGGATTCAACTTTTTCTCATTCTGTCATTGAAATTTATTATTTTGAAAATGTGGAAATTTTAAAATTTAAAAAAATTTTCCTTTGTTTCCTTTTCCCGTACAACTAGCAGACTTAAAGGACTTAACTAACACATTCTAAGTTTTCTAAAGTTCGGAAAGTTTGGGGATTATGAGAAACTATAGAAGCAAAGGAAATATTTTCATAACTCATTTTAATGTGGAATTCAGTGTTTGGTATTTCAGATTATAAAATTGATAAGGCTTTTATTTGATAAAGCTTACCTTCCTCTTTATTACTATTGAGGTTCTTAGTTTCACAATCATGTAAAATTTTTTTTTAATTTTAAATACATGGCGGTTCTGTTGGGATTCCTGAAGTTGATTTCTTTAAACTACACAGGACAGTGAGTTGTTCCTTAATGAACTGTTCGCTAATTTGTGGTCTTTTATAATATGCTAGAATAGATATATTGCCAGTCTTAAATTGAATGTATAGGGAAGTGGAACTTAAACATAAAAGGTTTACATTTTTTCCTATGTTTGCTAGAATGTCTGTCGTATGTATATCGCAACTCTTTCAATGTTTACTTTTGTCTGTGGCATATTTTAAAAAGATCGAGGAAAAGATTGTCCTAGATAATAGTGTTAATGGGAAATAATGTAAACTGCTCTAAAACTTTTTCTCTTTTTAAGGTGACAAAAACTTAGTTGGTTCAGAAGTAAAAATTTATAGCTTGGACCCATCTACTCAGTGGTTTTCAGCAACTGTTGTAAATGGAAACCCAACATCAAAAACTCTTCAAGTCAACTGTGAGGAGGTAAAGACATTAACAATTACATGTGAGATAACTTAGATAACTGTAGAATATTTATTTTTTAGGAGCCTAAACACTTTCTTTATAAAATGTTACAGCAGAAATAGAAATGATGTCATTTTAAAAACTGTTTGTAGCTGGGTGTGGTGGTACATGTTTGTAATCTCAGCACTGGGAGGCTGAGGCAGGAGCTTTGCAAGTTCAAGCCCATACTGGGCAACATAGTGACTTAGAGACCCTGTATCAAAATTTTGAGCAGAGGAGGGCAGGGAAAGTTGAGAATGTAGCTCAGTGTGAAGGCCATGGGTTTGGTCTCCAATACTGAAAACAAGAAACAAACTATTGTTATGTTAATGCTCATTTTCACAGTGTTCCGAAACATTTTTAAATTTTCCAGTATTTTTGTTTTTTATTTTTAAGATCCCAGCACTGAAAATTGTTGATCCGTCACTGATTCATGTTGAAGTTGTACATGAAAACTTTGTGACATGTGGTAAGATACATTGAAGAAAACTTCTTTCTTTTTCCTCTTACGTTAAGAGAAATAGGGAAGCAAACTTAAACCTATCTTTATGTATTTTAGGTAATTCTACCAGAATGGGAGGTGTAAAACGGAAGTCTTCTGAGAACAATGGAAGCTTCGTTTCCAAACAAGCAAAGTCTTCCTCTGAGGTAACCTTGATTTGTTCCTGTCACTGCATAAAGCTTCCTTTGATACTGCATGGCCAGTCTTTTTTATTGGTCATATAGCTATCTTCCCTGTTCTATGCTGTTTTGTCTGCTCTTTGCAGTTCCAGATCTTGGCCATAATTTCTACACTCAAGCAGATGGAGATAATATAAATTTCTGGTTCACTACTTTTTGTGGAAAAAAATAAAAGTGTTCTTTTTTGCTACTTGCTGGAAATTCTCAGTAGATACGGGTTTTATCTTACACCTCTCACCATCTGGAGGTGTTTTTGAAAGTAAATTGAGGTGTACGTGTTAAATTGGAAGAATGGTGTGAGAAGAGGGAAAAACCTTAGAATTGTGTGTTGATTAGATGTTGAAAATAGGACCTTTACTCTCTCAGGAGTAAGGAAGTTTTATGGTCATTTGTGATTGGGCATACAGATAAGCTAGTTTTTCAGAGGAGGTGATTGGCCATTATTAATTTCTTGCAGAAATGTGTAGACTTCTGTGAATGAGTTTAGGTGCCAGATTTCATTCTCTTGTGAAACAGTTCTTTTTTGGACCAAGGAAGTTAAAATTATTTCTTCTTTAGGTGAATTCAGTCACTGGATCTATTTGAGTACAAATAACTTTCACAATTTAGTTTCGTTGGTTGGGGGTGCATCTCAGTGGTAGAGTATTTGGCTAGCATGTGCCAGGCCCTGGGATCAATCCCCAGTGCAACCAAACAAAACCCCCCACCTTTATGATCCTGTGCTTCAGGCTACAGTTTAGACTTGAAATCGATTGGGATGCTACTGTTCAAGACTACTGACAACATCCCCGAGAGGGACCTTGAGATCTAGGGGAACAAGGCAAGGAGGAACAACAGCTTGCCTTGGGGCCAGAACCCTAGGTTCTAGATAAAGGGTGCACTGGCCACAGCTTAGATTGCCACCAAAGCAATCAGTGCACTAAACAAACAAAACAATACCGCATAGCTAGATAGGCTGATGGGCTTTCCTGAGCTTTTGCCTGTGTATAGGCAACAGGAACTGTGACATTTTACCAAAAGCTTTGTAAGTCATGCTGTCTAAAACCTGGTCTTCTCCAAGCATAAAAGCATAACCTCTTAGTTGGAGGCTCAGCTTGTTCAAGAAAAAATAAAAAGGTTATTGTGGATTGTCTTTCACTTTAGCCTTAAACTAAATATTGAATATGGAAAATACTGAGCACTGTGTGCTCGGTTCTTGGTCATGGAGACTGAGAGGTATTGTGTTCCCCTCTCGAGGTGTATATAGTCCAGAGAGGGTGACAGTCTCTCCCAGTGGAGCGCGCTGAGCAGGGCCTGTGCAGGTGCACAGGAAGCAACCTGCGCCAAAGCTTGAAGAGAAAAATTTTGCCCTACTTTGAGCACAGGAGGTATGAGAAGAAAGAAAGTCAGTCAGAGATAGAAAGGAAGTTTGGGTTTTATCTTACAGTTAGGTGTGGAGGGTGACTGAGAGTATTCAGGGATTTTGAGTTCAGGATGTTGGCCGAGCTGTGTAGATGATGAATGAGGAAAGGTCCTCAAAATAGAAACAAGGAGAAGGTCAGCGTCAGTATCTACTGTAAAGGGGCCAGAAGAAGTGAGGCAGTGAACTAGGGACGGAGAGCTGTTTAGAGGCAGCACTGGCTGAACTTGGTGAAAGTCTAGGACTGAGGAAGTGTGGGGCAGTTTACCTCAGAAGAAGGTAGAGCAAGTGGAATGTCTGCTTCATCCAGCACTGTAGTTACCTTCCAAAGCTCAAGTGACGCCGGCAGGCGATCATTTATAGTATTGTGTAGTCTCCCAGTGTAGAGGGAACTGAGTTAGTGGAGGTTGGGATTCTTCTTCTCAAAGGGAATGGCTTTAGTGAGGCTTTGGGGAAGCAGTGTAGCTAAAGACTCTAAAGAGGATGTCAGGCAAGTGGTTGTTGCATTTTAGAGTTAAACTCAGAGAGGATGCAGTGGTAGAAGCTGAGAGAGGAACTGGTAAAATTCCTCAAGTAATGCAGTGGTAGAAGCTGAGAGAGGAACTGGTAAAATTATAACCTGTCCGGTTTTGATACGGAGAAATTGTTTGCAGTGTAGGGTAAAAGGCCATTTTGGCTGAGTGTTGCCTGTTAATGGAGAAGGCGTCAGTGTTACTGGCCAGAGGGAGGATGAAAGGGCAAGTTGAAAGATGGTGTGAGGGCCAGGATTCTGGAAGGAGGAAGGGCATACCTTCTAAGTACTGAGTTGGTTAGCAGTGGGAAAGATGGGTGAGCAGGAACATTTTTAACCTTCAAGGAGGTGCTCGTAAAAAGTGGTAACATATATGTATATAATACTATCTTCCGCCTGACTGAAACTTGTAGGGCAGGGAATATATTAAAAGAAACTTTCTCAGAAAAGTACGGTAAAGCAAAAAAAATCATTTGTAATGCATTTCTCAGAGACCTTATTCACACTTTGGAATACTTCCCCCCTTTCTCTGTTTTTTGTTTGTTTTTTAAGTAAGGATTTTACTCTTTTGTAGCCTCCTTGGTTCCCTTATGAACATTTGCCCATATCAGTATTCTTTCTCATCCTGGGAGATTATTGTAATCAGGCAAGTTTTGTGCATGGCCTAGATTACAAGAGGGCTGAAGAGGTAAAGGAAGCAGGGGAGAAAAAGCGAGTTAATGTAAATGTGTGAGTGAAAGGTGAGTATAGTAATGCTCTTGGCATGATTCTAACTGCCCTTCTCAGATGGGTTGAACTGCACAGGATTTCTTTCCTGGTGGTGTTTGGAAGACAGGAGTTTGGGATTAGGTCAACAAGACACTAGTGTGTCTCAATGAGTACTTTCGGTTAAGGTAAACCTGTTTGCCAGTGGCATCTGGCTCCTTGAAGGTCTTCTCTGCCTAGCAGACTCTTCCTCAGAGTTACAGTGGATGTTGCTTGGTTAATTGGGAGAGTCTGCTGAGGGGCGTGTGCCAGCAGTGTCCTTTTTAGAATACTATCATACACTCAATTATATTATCTCCGTCTGCTGGCAGGGAGGAACTATTGCCATGACTGGTATAGAAGACCTTCAGGGAAAACTGTTCAGGTAAGAAGAAACTTTGACCCTTTGTTGAGTCAGAGGCTGGTGCAGAGGTGTGCACATGAAGACGGGTTTGGGAATCAGTTCTATCCCTTTGGAGCTAAACCTTAGGAGAGTTGTAGAGGGATATCTTCAGTTTCTAAAAACCCTTAAGTATTTCTGATCATATCACATGGTGACAGGACTGGAAACTTTTTATAATATTTTTGTTCTAAGAGTGCTCATCTCTAAAATTCATGTTATTTTGGGCCAAGAACTATGGTAAAAGCACAGCCATGTAAAGTATGCTTTATTATTCTCATTTCATGAATGAGATTAATGTATCAAAAGTGTCAGAGATTCAATCCAAATGAAGATCTATCCCTAAAATGGAATAATCTTGACCACAGCACCGTTTCCACTCCTCCCAAGCCCTTTCTATGGTATGGTGAATCACCATCACCGAAACAGCAGATTCCTTCTTTCATTCCCTCTGTCTCTCCCTCCTCCCAATAAATATTTATGGATCTTTTATATGTGGGAGACACTGATCTACAGTGGTGAGCATTACTACTGCCTGTCTCTTCAGGTAACTCGTAAGAATTATTTATGGCCATTTAAATATACAAAGTACTAACCATGTTCATTCATTTATACAATACTTTCATTCCACCAGTGTTATTTATTGAGCATCAGGCATGTGTCTGGCTTGATGTGGTCTGATACCCAGCAGTGGGGCTTCCGCCATAAGGAATGCACAGTCCATTGTGAGGAGACTGACAGTAATTACGTGGGAGGTCTTTTCCCAGTGTGATCTGTGGTGTGATATAACCGTAGGAATATGATAAAGAATAAGTGGAGCACTACTGTGGGATGAATAATGTAGGATTCTGAGGAAGTGACATTTGAGCAAATGCAGGTGAATGGAAGGGACTAGCCAGCTTCTCAAAACTGCAGGCAGAGGGAATAGCAAGTTACAAAGACCTGCCCAGAGAGGAAGCCAGTGTAGTTGGGGTACTGTCTGCAAGGAGGGGTGAAATGAGATGGGGGCATGGGAGTTGACAGGAGCCTGGGCCACATGGGGTACTTGTAAGGTGGTGAAGCGTCAGGTTTTATAAAGATGGCTCTGATTCAGTAAGAGGTGGAGGATGAGCAAGAATAGAAGAAAGTCTGGCTAGTTAGGAGACACGGAGGATAGGAGAAAGGTGGCGATAGTGTTGGCATGCAAAATAATGGATAGATGCAGTAAGTCCTTTTGATGTCGGGGCAGGAGTTACTGATTTGACTGGATATAGGAAATGAGAAAGGGAGAGGTTTAGTTTTTACTTGAGCAGCTTGATGGACATGGTACAGATAAGAATTTATGCATAAGTTTGTATTCTAAATCTCATAAATGCATTACTCTTAGGAGAGTAATTTAAGGGAGGGTGTCAGTGCATCAACTTTAAATGTATCCAGAGAGGAAGAGGGTAGGTAGGAGGTGATGCGTGGTGAAAGCGAGCCTTGAATAAGCATTTTGTAATGATTTGACAGTTAAGCTTTGGCAAGCTAAGCTTTTAATAGGGGATTTCCAGAGAATTGTAATATCATATAGCCTGAAGGGACCTTTTAGAAATCAGTTAATTTAATTTCTTCATTTAAAGGGTTAGGAAAAGGACCTAGAGAAGTGTAAAGGATCCCAAGCATATAGTCATCTCTTTTCCTCCAAAAAACAAAACCAAATCAAACAGCAGGCAGACTTTATCTTTTGATGAACACTAAACTAATATTTAACAGAAATTTAGTTGACAGAGTAATATAACGTATGATCAGTTAGTATTTAAAAGTTAGTATTTAAAAATAGTTTGAAGCTATGCCAAAACTTAGATAGTGATGAAGTCCTTTTTTTTTTTTAGGTAGTTCTGTGGATTTTGTTTTGTTTTTTTGAGGCAGAATCTTGCTTTGTTGCCCAGGCTGGCCTAGAACTCCTGAGCTCAGGTAATTCTCCTGCCTCAGCCTCCTGAGTAGCTGAAATTACAGGTGTATGCCAGTGTGCTTGGCTTAATTTTTACTTATTTCTGTTTAGCTTATAATACTTTTTTCAAGGCTGCCAGAGTAAATGTCTAAGGAAAAAAATCATGAGTAAGCAACATATAAATATTTTTAGAATTGTAGGTTTTAAAAACCTACGAAAGTTCTGCATTAAATTTTAGAAGTTACTACAAGATGAAGAGCTTTTGAAGATTCTTGAAGTTTAGCTTTGGTGGCAAGGCAAAGGTCATTGCAGTGTGAAAGAGGTGACAGAAAGATGTGTGACTTAGGCATAGATGCAGAGCCCATGGGAAGACGGCAGGAGGAGGACATGCAGTTCAGCCATGGAATATCTAGTTGTCTCCAGGTTTTCTCTTCCTGTTTTCATGGTGGAAAGTTTATTTTTGTGGCTAGCATAGTATAAGGTGGTTAGAAGTGGATCAATATTTGTATTTTTGTAGAGGTGAAATTGTGAGGAGGGAAGGAGAAAAGTTGTCCCACCCGTGTTCCATGGGCTTGTCATGACCTAATATTTTTTGCAGCTTGGGGATGACCTTTGTGACTTGATGAGCCAGTAAGACCGAGAACCGTGTCCTCAACCTTTTGCATTGCAAAGGCTTATCTTGGTACCCAGTAGGCGCCACTGCCTACAGGAATCGTATGTGGTCTGGTCTGCTGCCAGTCTGCGCAGTAGGTGCGTGATGGGCACTCAGGTCATGTCTAAATGATTGCATGTGAAGCAGCCACCTTTAAGACTGTCACTTAAAAGTTCACTTCTGTGCCTTGTACCGGTAAAGTAATGGCTACATGACTTTTCCCAGCATAATGACAAACTTGAAAAAGATCAGCCTGTGATCTTTTACAGGAGTACTTAAGTTCTCTGAAAAGCTGAAGCAATTTGTTTATAGCCTTTACATATGAATACTTAATTGTGTGATTATCATGTGTTAACTGTGCTGATCTTTTATTTGGTGATGGGATAAAGCTTATTCACTAGTAAACCAGCAAATCATCTTAAGTCATGCTAGCACTTCGTAATTTCTTAGACGTTCCTTTTAATATCTGTTGGTTTGATATTTTTTAGGCCTCTCCCAGTGTGTGTCCTGTACAGTCTGTTCCCACAGCAGTGTTTAAGGAGATCCTGCTCGGCTGTACTGCAGCAACTCCACCTAGTAAGGACCCAAGACAGCAGAATACTCCCCAAGCTGCCAATTCTCCACCTAACCTTGGAGCAAAAATTCCTCAAGGGTGAGTAGTGCTTCGTTAATGATGTTTGATCATAGTAATAAAAAATCGTTGTAGTTATGGTTCATTATTCCTGTCTCTGGTTGCCAAGGGAATTTGTTTTGGTAAAATTTTCCAAGAGGAGAGATGGATCAGGTCGCTTCAGAGGAGAGAGTGTAGAAGGCACATGGAGTGTGGAAGACAGCGGAGAAGGGAAGGGGATGTGCCTTCAGAGGACGTGTGACGGCTCAGTTGAAATACTGCTCACCTTTGGAGAATAGGTGTCTGCTTTCAAGGACAAGGGAGCAGATTGGTTGTGTATGGAAGGCTGAGGTCAGAGGGAGTGTAAAGAGGAAGACCTGACTTCAGTGAGGGTTAACCTAGATGGGAGGGGACCCCAAGCACAGGTAAAGAATGCAGCAGTAGAGGAGATTCTAAGAATAGGAATAGGAGCAGTAGCTGTAGGTGATGGTGATACTGTTACTAATTTACAGCTGAGGCAGATGAGTAAGAAATATGTTTAATAAGAGATTTAAAGGGGCATAAGTTTGAGGGAGGAGGAAGGCTCCCTTCAGGGCAGTGGCAGTGGCCGGTACAGGTGGTTATCAGGGCCTAAGACGTGGGTCAGAGAGACTGGTATGGAACACAGTAGGTTTGGAGGACTGCAGAAAGGTGGCAGAACAGGTGAGCATGTTGGTTCACTGTGAGGGAAGTGGACACCTCCTAGGGAGCTTGGGGGTTGGTGACACAGCAGTCACCGCAGTGACATCCAAGCAAAGATTTCTCACCTGAATGTGTACATAAGTTTTTCCAGGTGAGATCATGTGTTAGAAGCTGGAAAAACGAAATAGAATAGAAACAGAAGCGTTGTTTTGGTGGCTAAGAACCCTAGGCTGAATGTGGGAGAAGCAAGCTCCTCAGGGAACCTCTAGAAAGATGTAGGGGTGGGGTTGTGCAGCCAAATAATTCTCTAAACAGGCAGGAAAGCAGGTGGGTATTGTATTTGCTTTGGTCCTGACCACCTCTGCTTGTATGATGTTCATAGCACGGGGTTTTGTGCTGTTGGTGGTTTATGATTAGGTTTTTTTTAATTTTAAAAAGAAAAAAAAAAGATACAGAATTTCAAAACAAGATGATAGGAAATTAACAGTGGTTATTATATTGTATATTGTTATCTTCAAAGTAGTGATTGCCTCTGAAGGGCTCTCTAGAATTTCTGATATACAGAACATTTTAAAATTTTTATCTTGACACATTTGCCTACCATGAAATTGAATTTCTAAGTCTTGGCAAACAACAAGAATACTAGTTTTATTTTTGAAATTTAAATTTAATATTCATTATCTAAGACAGGAGAATTCAGTAGATGTTTCTCTGAAATTTAAAAAAAAAAAGGAAGAAAAGAAACTTGTGTAGTTGGTCCTACACCAGCTTTTAATTTTGACACTTTGAATACCCACTGAGCTTTTCAATTGCCAAGTATATTTCTTGGTTTTATGTGACGCTGCTTATTTTAAGGGAAAGCTAAGGTGCATTGTGCTATAAGAAGTAGAACTAAAGTTGTTAGAGCTTTATGAGAACATGCAGCCAGAGTTTGGGCTTCTATCTTTCTGAGTGTTTAAGATACTTTTGGGTAGAATTGACTGATTACTTATAACTGCAATTCACAGAAACCTATTCTAAACTCTCTGCAATAAGCAGTTTCTTTTCTCTTTTGTGCTGGTTGCTGTAGGGTACCAAACAATTGGTTTTGGATGGAAAGAGATAGAGGCCTGGATGCTAGTTTTCCATATTATGTTTTTCAGCTGCCATAAGCAGAGTTTACCAGAAGAACTTTCTTCCTGTCTAAACACAAAGCCTGAAATACTGAGAATAAAACCAGATGTCTGCAAAGCAGGGTTGCTCTCTTCAAAGTCTTCTCAGGTTGGAACTGGAGACTTGAAAATTCTGAGTGAACCCAAAAGCGGTTGTACCCAGCCTAAGACAAACAGTGATCAGGAAAACAGATCGGAATCTATTCCACAGCCATTGACTGGCCTTGCTAAGGAGAGCTTATGTACAAAGACTTCTAAGGCAGAATTGGAGATTGCCAGTACTCCTGAACTGCAAAAGCACCTAGAACATGCACCTTCCACATCCGATGTTCTTCCCAATAAGCCAGAAGCGACAGCAGCTGTTAATAGTGCTAGCCCTCGTGGCTGTCCAGAAAACAAGGTAGAATCTTCAACTTTAGGTTGCCGGCCACAGAATTTAAAGGAAACTTCAGTGAAAGTAGACAATGAAAGCTGTTGTACAAGAAGCAACAATAAAATCCAGAATGGTGAGTGTTTTTAAATACCTTTTTTGGTAGAAGGTAAGAGGTGGTAGATGAGTTTCTTGTCCTAATATGACTTTGTAGGAAGTTTACATAAGCTGTATTAATCAAATGGATCCAGGCCAATAGTTTTAACCATGTGAATTAGCATAAGTATCAGTTAACATTTTAAAGCTGCAAGGATTCTACTTTATGCTTTTACCATATGACTTAACTGGTTTCTGTTAGGTGGGTAATTAGATGGATTCCAATTTTTGATGGTAAGAACATATTTTTGTGGTACTGTAATGCTATTACATTAAATTAGTGATATGGTGATTACCTTTAGGCTATTGCTGATCTTTCTGTAACATCTAGGTTGGAGAAGAGGTGATACGTCATATTCACACAAGTAGCTTGAATGTGAAATTTTAAAATGCAGATGCAGAATTGCATCATCACTCTGGAAAAGAGACTTTTGGGTGAACACAGGACTGGAAAGTCAGGCAGTCTCTGCTGCCTAAGGGGTAGTCCTGAGCACTAAGCATGCCAAACTTTTCTTATAGGGAAAGTGATGCTGTATTTTATTTCATGCAGCTAACTTAGGAATGTTATTTAGAACATCCCTAATTCAAAAGTCCAGTATCAAAAGTGTTTCCAAATCTGAAACTCAGTGCCAGCATGACGTGCCAAGTGGAAAATTTTATATCTGATCTCATGTGATGAGTTGCAGTCAAAATACAGATGCACTAAAAATACTGAATCTGATTACTTTCAACCTGTGCCAGTTAAGGTATATGTGAAATGTTGGTGACTTTTGTATGTAGACTTCGGTCTTATCCCCAAGATATCTCATTATATATATATATATATATATGCAAATATTCCAAATCCAAAGCATCATTCAGAAATCTGCAGTACTTCTGGCCTTAAGCTCTTCCGATAAGGGGCACTCATCTTGTACCTACTGGCATGTTAGGCTTAAGGGTGCACCCAGTGGTGGTAGTTTCTAGAATTAGGAGAATGAAATGGTGTCAACATGTTGAGAGTCGGGGCTAATCTTAAAGCCCTGTTCCCTTGGATCAGTTATAAAATGAACATAACTGCACTAGCTTTTTATTTTTTACCACAGGCCTCTGAAACTAGAGGTCGGGTGGTTGAATTTGACTTGCGGACCTATTTAGTATAGAGTTAGAGGAATAGAACGCACATTTTCTTTGCCTAGGGACTCTTCTAACCCACCTTCTGCATTCTTGAGGCCCAAGTTAAATGGCTATTAATTTACATAAAATTAATTGCATAAGATTACGTATTCCTCAGGAGTTACATAACTCCCCAAAGAAAGTGAATATTCATAATGATAAATTTGTTCTGTTTCTTTATGTTTGAGTCATCAACCTTCACACTCAGCTAGTTTTGAAGCAAATCATTTTAATTTGTATGAAGAGACAGTGAAAATGCAAGCTGGGCAAATGCGTGGCAGATGCACAAGTCCAGCTTTGTTTCACTTCATCTGATGTGTGGTTGTTCCCCATCTAACATGACTTTAAAAGAAAGGGAAACCCTAGTTGCACGTCCTACCATCTGTAGTGACTGGTTGAGGATGGAGAGTGATCGCAGGCCAGCAGGGTCTCTGAGCTGCGCCCACTCGTACTCCCTGTGCATAGGGAAAGCCTCAATGGGAAGGGGCTCGGCTTCCTGGCTGCATGTAGGGACTAAGAACAAAAGACAGCTGGGGCAGCATAGCCTCCTCTTCTGGTGAGGTGGAGCAGTGATGGTGAACCTTTTTAAAGGCCAGGTGCCCAGACTGCAGCCCAAACCCACCTATCACCAAGTCCCAACACTGCAGTTAAACTGAATACTGAGGTTTTAGTTTAGGAAAAATAATTCATGCATGACGTTCTCTTATCTTAAAAGAAAAACACAATAACGTGCGTGCCGTGCTTGTCACCCCAGAGATAAGAGAGATGAGAGGGGTGACTCATGAGAAGCGGGCTGCCCTTTTTTCTCTTGGCTCTGCTATGCTCTGAATCCAGGGTCAGTGGTGGGACCAGGTACTGCTCCCTTCACTGAAGAGCTAAATGTAGACAGTTCAGCTTGCTTATCTCTGGGTGCTTTCTCTTTTAAGCCAGGACACAGCAGGTAAGATGACCTTTGGACTTTGTTACGCTTGGTGGGAACATGGTCCAGCTTCAGAGGATGATGTCTTTAATATCTGAGTACCATCTTTGAACTACTAATCCCGTTTCGTTCTCTTTTTTTTCTTGGGGAACCTTGTCTTTCACTCTTAACTGAGTAAGAGCGTTTAAGGGGTCAAAGACTGACAGCATCAGCTAGCATTTTACTGTGTATTTTAGCTCTACTTGAAGAAGTTCACCTAGGGAGGAGAAAGGGACATAAAAATTAAGATGTGTTACGTGCATGTGCCCACTAGCCATGATGAGTGTAATCATTAAAAACTGAAAACATGCACTAATAAAAGTCAGAGATAAGATCACCTGTAATGTAATTATTGAAGATATTTATGTAAAAAGCTTCTTAGGTTAGAAATCTTTACTCCAGTTTTGTCCAGAACTAGGCTTTCCCACCTCTGTCCCAACTGGTTCCCCAGAAGTTGTTTTCTGTTTGGTTTAGTATTTTGTCTGTTTGCCTAAGGCCCTACTTTCCTTTACTGGGTTCCCTTGGGCCCTGAGGAAAGGCCTTTTCTGTGAAATAGTCAGGCTCTTAGCTTCTGAATGGATTCCCTTCTGGGTTATTTGGGTGGATACCATGATTGGTCTTTGCTGTCACATTGCTCTTTTTCTTCTTTAGTAACGTGTTAACATTTTTTTCCAGTTCTCCTTTCATAGCGAGTTAAAACTTAAACTCGAATGTGCTTGGAATCCTGTCTTTAGCTGGTACCCTTAAATCTGAGTGGCCCATAGCTATGCCAAAGATTCAAAACACATGGAGTGAAGTGACACCTTTGGGAGGCATCTGGAAGATAGCCTTTGCTTCTTAGAGCACATGACTGAGTAGGAAGACTAACTGGTTTTTATAATGTTAAGAGTGGTTAGAAAACACACCTTGCCAAGTGTGGTAGTGCACGACTATAATCCCAGCCCTCAGGAGGCTGAGGCAGGAGGATTGCCACTAGTTTGAGGCCAGCCTGAACTACACAGTGAGTGAGACCCTGTCTCAAAAAACCAGAAAGAAAGAAAAAGAGGGATAAAAAGAACACCTCAGGCCATTCTTTTCTGTGTATGAAAAGTGGCAGAACCAATCACCACAAAAACAAATTAGGCCTCTGAAGAGGTACACCTGTGTCTGTGTGCCCCGCTACAGTGAGTTTGCGTTAAGTATCTGATTTGGAAAAGTCCTCTGTGTGTTTTTCAGCCAGGGCTGTGAACAAAAAGAGTTTGCTCTCCTGGAGTTGTGAGCCTGGCTGTTCAATTTGGAAAGTCTAGTTTGTCAAATGGAGTCACTAAATGAGAAACGTAAAGAGAACAAAACTTCTCCAGTTGTTCCGATAATTATGTTCTTTGAGCTGTGTTTTAGAAATTACAACTAAATCAAGAGTGGAGAAGGGTTTTCTGTCTTTGGGAGCATTGGCTTTTTTATTTAAAATTCATTCCAATACTGGTGAGATGATCAGAGACCTGAACTTTGGTGTCCTTTATCTTTTGTTTTCCCAGTCCCAGCCCGGAAGTCGGTTTTAACAGACCCAGCAAAACTCAAGAAGCTGCAGCAGAGTGGTGAGGCCTTTGTGCAGGACGATTCCTGTGTGAACATCGTCGCACAGCTGCCCAAGTGCCGGGAGTGTCGCTTGGATAGTCTGCGCAAGGACAAGGAGCCGCAGAAGGACTCGCCAGTGTTTTGTCGCTTCTTCCACTTCAGAAGGTGAGGTGTGTGGGAGGAGATCAGATAATCTGTTGCATACCTTTCTTCTGTCAACAGTAAATCTAAAAAGGTGGAGATTGTATTTTTAATCTCTGGATTTGGGAAACTAGGTCTTAACTGCATATTTTCTTTTCCTTGTGTTTTTCAAAAAAATTGTTTAATAAAGCAAGGAAACTTCAGAACACTAATTTATGTTTCCAAAATTAACATCAGAGAAAAATACTGAAGGTTCTGAAAAATCACCATAAATAACTACTGCTAACTTTTCAGTGTGTTTTTAATGGTCGTATAGTATTCCGGCAATCCCTGGTGGTGTCCTGCATATGCTGTTGTGAGTTGTACTTTGTCGGTGCATAGTAGGAACCTTTTGGTTACGTTGTTTTTCCTGAAAACATGTTCATACTTCTATGAGACTTCATTATAGCATCTTCCATTTGTTTGCGGTGCTGGGGGATCAGACCCAGGGCCTCGTGTGTGCACTAGGCAGGTGGCCTCCTCTGAGCCGCATCCCCACGCCCTAGCATCAGTGCTTGATGACTCAGTTCACCTGCTGATAGCAAGATTATTTTGTATTTTTGCTACTAGAAGTAATGCAGAATTGATGATCTCCTAGTTTACATCTCTGTTCACTTTGGAAGGATTACTAGGTCAGAACGAACGCTCGTGCGTGTGTTTGTGTGCGTGTGCACTTTATCAAGTCCCCCTTCAGGAAGGTTACGCCTATGTCTGTGCCCCACTGTCTGGGCTCAAGCATCCTTGCCTCTGTTCCTTTGCCAGCAGGGAAAAGCATATCTTTAAAAGAATTTTCTTGAGGTCTGCTGTGGTGGCACACACCTATAATCCCAGGATTTGGGAGGCTGAGGCAGGAGAATCACTGTGAGTTTGATGCCAGCCTGAGCTGCAGAGTGAAACCTTGTCCCAGAAAGAGCCCCAACAACAACAAAAAAATTTCTTTGGAACTTTATAGACACATTGTCATTTTTTTTTTAAGTCATACTTCATTTAAACTTTTCTTGCCTAAGTGAAGAAAAGGGTAACCTTGTTTTTTGAGACATAAATGACTGTTTTTCTGGGTATGAGTCAACTTTAGATACAGTCCACTTTCTCAAAATTCTGGATATTTTCAGGTTCAGCTCGTTCTGCTAAGTTTCAAAGCTTGTTGATGAGCTGAATTGAACACACAGGTATTTTAGATCATTAATTACATCTGCGCTGATGACTTCCGGATTTAGGCTTGTGTAGTGAAGTATATATATATATTTTTAGATACTCTTTGCCCTATTCATTCTTGAGCAGATTGCAAAAGCACATGATACAGTGTGTGGGTAGCATTTAGAGCTGTGGTAGTTAACATATGTTCACATGTACACGTTAGTACATATTCTGGATAAACAGCTGGCCCAGTAGTTGGCAGTAAATGTTAGCTCTGTTCTGCTTCCCCTCAGGAGATAGTCGTCTTACACACTATGGTAAGATTCATATGTATTTGGAATTACAGATATTGTGGGGAAGTGATACGGTGGTTATGCCTTTACAAGTCCCTGCATTCCTGTGTAGGCCTGATTTCCTGTCATTGGGAGGGGCTCTCCATGAGAGAGAGACTAGAGTTCAGTTGCAAAGGCATTTTAGGGCGGTGGTAAATTTTTCCTCCTTTTATCCTTCGTAATTTTATTAGAGCTTTTCAAAAACATGATTTTGTGACCATGTAAAAATCACTGATTTTATGGCTTAGGTGCTTTTCCATTTTTGACTTCTTGACCTTTGCTTAGGGCTGCATAATGGAAGCCAATCTAGCAGTAGCTAGAACAGACTCGCTTCTTTGGTAAAAGAGTATCATAATTTAACTTTTTCCTTGATGTTGAGAGTGAAGCGTTAGGCTGTCATGAACTTCGTCAGACTTGTCCCCCACTAAATTTCTGTAGATAAAGAAGAGGACGGGCAGGGCTTCAACAGGAAGGTTTAGTTGTTAGGTCCAGTTGGTTCCCTCTCCTTTTAAAAAGGCTTTCAATCTTGTTTTTTAGTTTTATGACCCTCTGCTTTGAGCTATCAGTTAAAAACTTGCACCTCGCCTTTGAACTGTAAGAAATACATGTGCATCCGTTGTGGAAACTGTTAAGTGTCAAATATACTTCTCGTCTCAAAGGCTTGGATAGCTGCCAGTGCCCAGTGAGGGGATGAGTGTACTGCCAGCATGCTGTCCTAACTCACCTCTCCAGTGTCCTGACTCTTTCCTGTGAGAATGCATTGGTTTAATCTAACAGTTTTTTGTTTCCCAGTTTACCTTCTTCTTGCTTTTGTGTGGAATGCTGTCTCCTGAACATAGCTTCTCTTACTTCATGTCCCCCTTTCTCGCATGTGAAGCTCATTTACTGTCTCTACCATGAAGTCAGCTTCATATTAGCTAACAGTTCCTTCTCTGTTCCTGTAAGACTTAATCACTTGTCACATGTCACACCTGCTTCACTGTTTTATGTCAGTTTCTTATGTCTCCAATTGTGGAAATACTTGGTTGTGTTTCAGAAAATTTAAAACTAATACATAGTTTGTTTTAAAGAAATAAAACCCAAGTGTTAAAGAGTATTGAACGTGCAAACTGAGAATCATGTTCTGCTTTGTGTCTCACTTCCTAGGTTCTGAGGCCCACTTCCTTAGCTCTTCCTCCCATTCTGGGACCCTGAAATGTAATCGAAGCTTAAGATTTCATGGGCGTGCCAAAAACTCTCCCAAATCAATGTGGCCTTGGCTTCAGTGACTGCCTAAGAGTTCTGTTCTCTTGCAGAGCATTGTTCTTAAAGTAGTGGTTGTGTTCACATCTGACCAGATTGTTCATCACTTCTGTTGGTTGGCAGCTTTCACCTGTGATATCTTGTGCTTGTTCATAACTTCTGCTTGTTCTTGCTGTTAAGTAAAAATCCCATCAGGTTGAACAGTTGTCTCTGGAGGCAGTATGAGTATATATATCTTGGCTGAGTACAAAATATACAGTCTGTCCTTCTCTTTCCTCTCCCTTTGTAGCTTATCTTTTAGGAGAAAACCTCAGTTATTTTACCTCTCCACATCACCGCTGCTTTTCCTCTGGCTTCTGGATATCCTAGGCTCTTTTTGAGTACTGTACGCCTATATACTATTGTACTGTACAGTGAGCACACAGCAGCACAGATGTGATAGTGTCCAGCGACACATGAGCTACTTCTGCAGTATGTTCACATCTACAGATGTTCATAATTCAAGGTCCATTCAGGTGTGAAAGTTTGCAACTTGAATGTTAAGTCAGGGAGTTGCTGTAATTGGCTGTGAAGATTAAGGAAACTGAAAGACATTTGTTGATTTAATTGTATTTAAATAATAACTACAAGATGTAAATTAATTTTGTGTGTTTTTTCCATTCCTCCTAGGTTACAATTCAATAAACATGGTGTGTTGCGGGTAGAAGGCTTCTTAACACCAAACAAGTACGACAGTGAAGCAATTGGCTTGTGGCTGCCTTTGACCAAAAATGTTGTGGGGACTGATTTGGACACGGCAAAGTATATCTTGGCCAACATTGGAGACCACTTCTGTCAAATGGTGATTTCTGAAAAGGAAGCTATGTCAACTATTGAGCCACACAGTAAGAGCATCTCTTAGTGGGTAGGATGTTTGAGTCCAACTTGATTTTTGTTTCTGAGTGACACCAGAATCCCTATTTGCAAGGGTTTCATTTTCCCCCAGAAGTTCAGATTACTTTGGTGTAATGTTGCATTTTTCCTTTTGTGATAGGTTTCACCTGAGCTAGCCACTTAACCTTTAGGGTTTATTTTGGGACAGTTAGCAAAGGAGTGGCTCCTTTTTGTTAGGAAAGGTCAAGGTATTGACCTCTCCAGGATTGCAGCCTTGCCAAAGGGGAGTGAGGCTTCAGACAAAGGGTCTTGGCAAGAACACTGAAGAAAACAAGGGACAGGCTGCACTTAGACCACCCAGGCTGAGTCTGTGGGGCTGGGTCCCAGGCATGCGAATGGGCACAAGCTCAGTTGGAGCTGACTGTTCGATCAGCATTTGAGGGAATACTTGGAGGTTCAGCTGGATGTGTGCCTGTGGCCTCCATTGGCTGCTCTGACAGCCCAGAAACCACGGGCGATGGTGTGGGTGACACATTTGAGCCAAGTCTCCTGCGTGACATTTCAAGTCTGGAAGGACAGCATGCCTCTCCCTTTGTCTGTAGAAAAGAGATACCCAGCCAGAGGCATCCATCATCGTATATTTCCCAAGTGGTTCAAAATGAAGAGCCAGGCCTGTTCTAGTCCTCTGGTTACTGTGCATAACCAAGTATGTTTGAATACAAGCATCCTCACCAGTCTTAACGATTCTGGCTTAAATACACAAAGGTATTATTAGACAGATGTGGATTCTGTTGCTTCTCAAGAGCGAGGAACAAGGAACAGCAGCAGGAATCCAAAGCTGGGGAGGGCATGGGATTGTGACTCCTGGCACAAACTGAGTAACGCTGAAGGGAAGAGCAGCTTTTTTACCTGGGCAATAGAGACTCCTTAACCACGCCCCCTCCCCACTCTGTTTAGAACAGGTGATACAAATTTTCCATTTTCAATAGAGACACTGTTTATTAAATACATTTGGGTAGAATAGATTTAAAAACATTCCTTAGATAAATTCCATGATAGTACAAACATGCATACATGAGTGTACTGTGGAAACACTTCCTTGGAACATAGTTGCTTCCCTCCTGAATCAGCAAGGTTGATTTATGTAGGTGATTTCTCTTCCTCTCCCCCTCTCCTCCCCTTCCTCCTTCTGTGTCTCTTTCAGGTTATTTTTTTCTCTGGTACACTAAGAGACACTGGCAGTTGTGTTTTAAGACCATAATTAAGGAGCTCTACCCTCCTTACAGATTTAAATTTTACTAATCTTTCTTTGTTTTTTTTGACTATCCTGTTCCTCTTTCCTCTTGACAATGTGGTCAGACTGGCGAGAGAAACAACACTGAATGATTTGGAAAAGGCCCCCCATACCCACCAGAGGGCTTCCCCTCTGATCTGCTATTAGGAAGCAGATCCTCTACTATTGGACTTTTATTCTGTGCTCGCTTCCGCAGCACTTGTACTAAAATTGGACTTTTATTTTGTTTTCTCAGTAATAACAGTTATATGGATAACTGAGGGAACTAAGACTCTATTCTAATAAAACAACAATCAGGTGGTTAAGGTGAAGTTCATAAAATCTCATTCGTACATGCCTCAAACTCCTATGTATTGTGCCTGGGCTGTTACATTACAGTGGAGGGTCAGAAGTTCACTTAGCACTTGCAATAATTTGGTGTATGCTGAAGTCCGGCTATTTGGGTTGAGTTCAGTCATTCAGAAAGAATGAACTCAGCAGAGACAGAATTAGGACAAAGCCATCTCCATGGAACAAGAATGCAGCAGTATTGACCCAAGGTTGTTAGGAAAGAGACTGGCGGCCTGAAGGGAGTCTCTGGTCAGCAACACTGGGCTTTCTCAGACTCAAAAGTGTCCCCTTTCGTTGCTACTTCTTGAAGCGCTCTGTACCCAATGTCATCACCCGACTGAATACCCCTCCTTGTTGGGGAGAGGTGTCCTATGGCCTGCCCTGCTTTGGAAGAGCCTCTCCCCATCTCTGGCTACTAGAATGGAAGAGGCTGCCTGTCGATTCCTGGATTGTACCTCAGGGACAGTCTACTGCACCTGTGTCCATCACAACTGGCACTGACAGAACTTGAGTGAAGGAACTGCTGTGCCCAGCCGAGTTCATGTGTGGTTCGTTCCAGGCCCCCTCACACTGGGGTTTTTGTTGGATTGAGGGCGTGAGTAACCTGGTGGTCCATGCCGCTCGTTGGGTTTGTGTATCCGAGGAAATGGCTTTTCCCTTGGAGAAAGCCTGGCCCTTGCTGCCTTCAGATTGTCAGTGGGATTCAGGAGCAGGTTAGCATGTCTGCCTGGGGTCCCTGTGTCTGTGCTCCTGCTGTGTGACCACAGGCATATGCCTGAGCAGGGTTCTGTTTGAATGTTGAGTAGCCTAGGGAGGCAGGACTGTGACTGTCAGGATGCAGCTGCCGTGACAGGAGGCTGAAAGAGCACACGTGATGGGGATCCAGCAGAGCTTCAGCGAGGCAGCATGTTTGATAAAGCTGGACAGAGTTAATGAGGTCTCTGGTCACAGGGAGGAATAATCACTGCCCCTCACAGTCGGTGTCAGGTTTCTCCTCCCCATAACTAAGTGATTTATTGATTCTTGCAGGACAGGTTGCTTGGAAGCGAGCTGTCAAAGGTGTTCGAGAAATGTGTGACGTGTGTGACACCACCATCTTCAACCTGCACTGGGTGTGCCCTCGGTGTGGGTTTGGGGTGTGTGTGGATTGCTACCGCATGAAGAAGAAGAATTGCCAGCAGGGTGAGAACCGACTCCATTCCCTCCGCTTGCTGGCACGCTGGAGTGGAGCCCTTGGTTAATTAGTGGTGGGTGGGCTTGGGAGGCGCAGGGGCCAAGGCGCACCAAGAACAGTTAGCACAAGTCCATTGTTTCCAGGGGCCACCTACAAGACTTTCTCGTGGCTGAGATGTGTGAAGAGTCAGATACATGAGCCGGAGAACCTAATGCCTACTCAGATCATTCCTGGCAAAGGTATTCCACGTGGTGCTGGGGTTTTCTTTCCCTCTCTTCACAGGGGCTGGTAGTTTAGTTTCATGTATGTAGTGTCATACTTGGTAACCTTACTTTATACTGTGTTGTGTAAATCGCCCTGGCACTTTTTAATGAAGGGCTTGTAGATAATTTTGTAGAAAGGAGACCATGCTTTTGGGGAAGGTGGGATAAAACGGGGGGATGGAAGACCGTGCTAGTGAGAAAAGATTCCCCAGGGGAGTGTCTGCTCTGCCCTGTAATGTTGAGGTTGAAAACACCTAACATCTTCGTTCAGATGTTTGCCTCTGCTTTTTTCCCAGCCCTCTATGATGTTGGAGACATTGTTCATTCAGTAAGAGTAAAATGGGGAATAAAGGCAAATTGTCCGTGTTCAAACAGGCAGTTCAAACTCTTTTCAAAGCCACCCTCAAAGGAAGACCTGAAACAGGTATTGCTGCTTGTGCTACACGCACCATCCTTGTGTTTCTGTTTTTCAAATGACCCAAGAATATCCATCGTGGTTTTTTATTAGGTTTACTGGTACGTTTTAGGTGTACATAAGGATCACATTCGTCATGGGGAATTTGTACATGTACGTGATATAACTTGATTCTTTTTCCCCATTCTGCTATCCTCCCTTCAACCCCTCTTCCCTCATTTACAAAAGCTTTGTTTCTTTTTTCTTTTCTCATTTTTTTCTCTTCCCTTCCTTTCCCCCTCTTATCAGTGTATTTTTTTTTTTTTGCAGTACCAGGGATCGAGCTCACCACCTTGTGCTTGCCAGGCAGGCGCTTATGCCACTGAGCTATATCCCCAGCCCGTATCAGTGTATTTTAAAGGAAAGTGGCAACAGCTGTCAATAGGGAAAGAATTTATTCTGAAGCCTATTCTCTCTTCCCCATTTGCTCTTGTGGGCCTCATTTATGGGTTCCTATTAGTAGATTTCATACTTTTTGTTTCTTGAAAAAGCAAAAATTTTCTTTGCTATAGTCTAATAAATTGCTATCAGATTTGTATGGATTCTTAAAGTCTCGTGTTTTGCAGAATTAAAATTAATTCAGATACGCTTTAAAAATGTTTAACTATTAAATCTGTTTTATCCATCAGCTATGTGAAGGGTTGATGGAGATGAAATGAGTGTTCTCTGCCCATCCCTTCCTTGCCCCTCACATGCCCCTTCCAGGTGGCCACTCTCCCTCCTCTGTGATAACCTTCAGTGGCCCCCTTTCCCTCAGCCCAGTGATCATGATCTCATGTTGTATTTAAGAATCAGAAATTCTTTCACATTTTTATAGAGCTGGGGTGTCAAAGGTAGCATGAGGTGAACTTGAATTTTTTCCCACTGCTTCCTAGTTGTGTTCCTTGGGCCCACATGAAGGGATTCAGGTGTGCTTCGGCTTGTTCATCAGAACTGCAGGGATGGGCAACACAGCAGTGCATCATGGGAAAAGAAGGGTCTTGACCACCACAGGAATTTCAGTGTCCTTTTTCCTTCTCACATTTGCACAAACTACCCAGTTGAGTAATAGAATAAGTGATAAACTCTTTCTAGTTTGTCCTTTTCAATTTATGTTGTCCGTTTTGGTTTATGTCTTAACTTTGAAGAGCTCCTTGTCACACTTTAATGCTTACTCAGAAGAGCATTTTTCCTTTCGTTGTGTCCTGTCTCCTTCTGAAATTCTAGCTTTCCTTTCCTATGTACTTTACTCATTCAACAACCGTGTTTTGAGGGCTTGTTCTGGATTCTGGCTAATTTTCTAGGGAAGACTGACACACAGTTGCCATTTTAAATCCACATAGTACATGGGGTGAGAGGGATGTGTGCAAAGATGTACATAATGTGTACAAGGACTAAGGGTGGAGGTGAAATACCTTGTATGTGTGAATTGTTACTGTGTGTTTTCACTAGTAATACTTAGAATCTGAAAGTGAGAATGTGCTGTTACTGCAGCATTTCTGCAGTAGTAGTTATCACCACAGTAATTCTGTGGTGATACAGCTGTGTTTTGGAGATGAATCTCTTATTGGGGGGTGGATTTTAGCAGTGAAGGTAGTAAGAAAAAAGAAATGCCATTCTTTAGCTTACGCAAAAGGCTCCCTTTGTACTTAACACAGACCTCCTTAGCGGGGGAAAGACCGACACTCAGTGCCGTACTCCAGCAAAGTCCCTCAGCTTTGGAGCCAGCGACGGTGGGAGGGGAAGCAGCCTCTAAGCCAGCTGCCAGCGCGAAGCCTCCCTGTCCAGCCAGCCCGTCGCCTTTGAATTGGCTGGCCGACCTGACGAGTGGGAATGTCAACAAGGAAAACAAGGGTGAGTGGCGCCACCTTCCTGTTCCTGCTGAGCACCACCTTCCTCACAGAGGGACTCGGCAGCCTCAGTTGCTGAGAGGTCAGTGGTGAGAAGTCTTGCAGCAGAAGTGTGCCGGGGGTCGTCCTGGGCCCGCAGCAGTGGAAGTGTATGTGCAGTACAGCACCAAAGAGGAGAGCTGTCGCTGCTGAGAGAGCTTAGGTCACCAGGCCGAGCTGAGATCATGTTTGGCGGGAATGGAGCCGGGCTAAGCGAGACTTAATGACAAGTGACTTTTCACCTGTCTGTCCTTAGCCTGCACATAGTTCCTCTTTGGCCGATGTCCAAATAGACGGCCTTTGGTTTCATTCACGTCATCTGCGCTGTTGTCTTATGATGCTTGGTGATAATGTAAAGAATGTGTTTTCGCATTAGTGGGATTAGAACTGTGATTTTGCTTTCAGACTGTGTTATGAGAGAAAAAAATCAGAGGTCAATTTCTTTCATGCAAACATGTTGAACGAAATTTGAGTGATCAAATTTGACACCATAAATAGAAGAGTAGGACCAAATGGGGTTTTTCCAGAAAGGCATATGTAGTTTAATGTCTAAAACTTTAAGAGGAACATCATATGCTGAGTTGCAGAAAAACATTTCATAAAATGCAATGTTATGCTTAGAATTTGTTTTTCTTTGCATTAAAGAATGAGATAAGGATGCCTATATCACTATTTTAGAGAGTACATGTGAAAAATCCAAAAGAACCTACATTGACAAGGCAGGTTACTGGATGGAAGGTCAGTTTACCAAAGTCAGTTTGTGTTTTTGCGTAGCAGAAATGTGGAAAGTGAAAGTAAAAATACCATTTATCTGCGTACTGGATTCCATTTTAATAACCCTTGTGAATCCTTGTCTAAATATAATTAGTATTTGTATTAAGTTTTTTTTGGTCCTAGAAAATGAATGCTGTTTCATAAAAGCCTCTATGAAAGCCTATATGGATTTGCCTTTCAGAATGTTTTAAAATCTGCATGTTTTGGTTTGGTTTTAGAGAAACAGCCAGTGATGCCAACTTTAAAGAATGAAGTCAGATGCCTTCCCCCCCTTCCCCCTCTTAACAAATCCAGCACAGTGCTCCATACCTTCAACAGCACAATTCTGACACCTGTGAGCAACAATTCTGGTTTCCTCCGAACCCTCTTGAATTCTTCTACGGGAAAGGTATGTGCTTGTCCTGTTATTTGCATTCCCTCTTACATAGTTGAACAGAAACAGGAAGGAAGAGACTAGAAAAATCGAAATAGAGTAAAGAGGAGAACATGAATCACGTGCTGCACTTCCTGGGCCAGCTTACTGGCACGTAGGCTTCACAGGGTTGCAGTACTGGGCTGAGCCACTTGCTTCTGCCACACCTCCTCTTGCCTGTGTGCAGTGGGGGTTCTGGCGTGGACTCTTCTGGTTATGTAATGTGGACCAATCCTGCCATTATAGAATTGGATTTTTTTGATGGTACGGAGCAGCATATTTAAGACTGTTGTTTCTCAAATGCAGACAGAAAATGGACTCAAGAATACACCAAAAATCCTTGATGACATCTTTGCCTCTTTGGTGCAAAATAAGACGTCCTCTGATTTATCTAAGAGGCCTCAAGGACTGACCATCAAGCCCAGCATTCTGGGCTTTGACACTCCTCACTACTGGCTGTGTGATAATCGCTTGTTGTGCTTGCAAGATCCCAACAACAAGAGCAACTGGAACGTGTTCAGGGAGTGCTGGAAACAAGGGCAGGTAATACGGGCCTCCACTTCCCCCGTCCAGTTCAGATCGCTCTTCCTCAGTTACTTTGGATACCAAAGTTGAGTTGTTCTGGGTAAGTATAATCAGAGCAGGGCTTATTCAGTGCAGCCGACTTTCCCAAGCTGTCCTTTCTAGTCAGGTGTTGAGTGCTTCCAGCAGCCATCGTTGAGTGTTTGATGAGAGTATCCAGGATTTGTGATCTTGGGTACTAAAGTGGAAGTGTGGCGATGGGGCTGATTCAGTTTGGGGCATTAGACAAAAAGAAACAAAAATCCTGCCTGCCCCTTCTGTAAACCCTTGTGCTGAAGGCGGTTCTCGGTGGCCCAGAGCCACATGGCGTCATCTTGGAATCTGTGTGTCGTTCCCCAAGGTGCTGGCCTTAAAGGACAGCGTGGTTGGATTTTCAGTTCTGGTTGATAGGTGTGGGAGACACTTGGTGGCCCGCTTCTGGGTTTTCCTTCTGCTCTCCCTCCCCGTGCCCCTTTGTTGGTTCTGTTTTTCTGGATCTTCAGCTTTTTCTCGCCAAATGGGGTCCTTGCTAAAGGAACACTTTGCTCTTGGACAAGAATTTGGGGGAACTGCCAAAGAGGAAAATGTGTTTAAGAACAATAACACAATTCCAAAAGCATTTTTTTGGACCTGTGTACTAATAGGATTTACTCATTTAGTCAGGCATATTCGGAGGCTGCAAAGTGACAGGCTGAATACAAAGTCTACCAATAGGTTCTGTTGGATTAATTATTGTCATAGGTAATTTTTTTTACTTGAAAAGTATTAAACTTCTTGCCAGTATTTTAAAGTCAGGCTGTTTAACACAAAGCTCAGGATTCTTGGCTTGTTTTAGAAAAACAAAACACTTGGTGCACTCAGCTCCATGTTCTGCTGGCAGTGGCAGATCAGAGGCCTTCGGGAATGCCCACTTTGGATAGTAAACACCCCGGCCCTTGTTTCCTTCCTGTCCCCTGGGGCTTTCGTGGGTGGGTGTTCTGAGTACTGGGATGTAAGTGGGAAGGGTGAGCCTTTCTCCCTGGGGCTTACTAATCTACTTGGAGAGCAGTGTGCACGGCAAATGAGAGAATTAAAGCTGCTGTTGGAAGCCCGGGAACTAAGCTGTCACCTCTCCAGCTGTGACCTGACCAGCACTTGTTGGAGAGGAGCAGCCTATGGGCCTCGGGACAGAGCTGCGGGAGTTGACACTGAAGTCTCTCCTTTCCTTTTAGCCAGTGATGGTGTCAGGAGTGCACCACAGATTGAACACTGAACTTTGGAAACCCGAGTCCTTCAGGAAAGAGTTTGGTGAGCAGGAGGTTGACCTGGTTAATTGTCGGACCAATGAAATCATCACAGGAGCCACTGTCGGAGACTTTTGGGATGGATTTGAAGATGTCCCAAGTATGTATTAAAGATCCTTCCAGAGGACTGAGTGTGTGAAAGGAGGAGACACAGGACTAGCAGGAGTCAGAGAATTTTGGAATTCAAGTTGGTGTCTCTTTTGCCTCTTCATACAAAGTTCATGCTTTTGAACTGAGTCATCCCCTGAAACTGGTACTGATTCTATGACAGATAGTTTAACTAAAGCCTATGCATACCACCCAAAAGCTGGGGGTGCTTGTCCCTGTACAGAACGTGGGGTGGTCTCAGTCTTGTCCTGAACAAAACATTTTCATTTCATGCTGGCCTCAGAAAACTGGGCTTGCTGTACACTGTGGTCTTGGATCCTTGTGGAGCTGCTCGCTGGGACACTGGGAGAAGCAGACTGGCTCTGAGCTGCACAGCTGCCAGACACTGCGTCTGTATACTGGGCACAGAAGAGGGACTGAATTTCAAAGAATGGATAGCCTCTAAGAAGACAGGGCCCCATGTAGATTAGTGATCTTTACTTTGCTGCCTCCAAGGTACAATGGAATTTCTTGGCATTGTAGAAATAAAGTGGCTGGCAGCTGGCAAGAGGGGAATATTAAACAGTATTTGTATACTAAATGGAGCAGATTGTGAATCTCACACTGTTGAGGACTAGATTGCTAATTTATCATTTACTTTGATCTGTCATAAATAAGTAATTCATTTATTGTGGTTACCTTTCAGATCGTCTAAAAAATGACAAAGAACCAATGGTGTTGAAACTTAAGGACTGGCCACCAGGAGAGGATTTTAGAGATATGATGCCTTCCAGGTACTGTCGTAAAGAGGAGGAAAATGATTCTGCCCTTGAATTGTTAGGATAAATTCTTAAAGGTAGAGAGGAAATTAGTTTTTAGAGAAATATGAAAGGTCCATAGTTTTGTTGGTGCTGATTTTTTCATTTGTAGTCTGTAACCTTTGGAGTGGTGTAATTTAAATGAAATGAAGAAGTTAAAGAATTTTAGATCCGTCTGACTACGAAAGTACGACACACTTGTCGTGGACATGCTCCGCCCACGTGGAGGCTGGTATAGATGGCTGGGCAGACCTGCAGGCATTCTTGGGACCAACAGGCCAGGGCTCAGAGTAACATTAAGTTAAACTGGTGGGTTGATTTTTCTGAGATGTTCTTGAAGCCTTGAAAAGGAGCCTGACAATTAATACTTTGTCCCTGAGTGTTAGTTCTTTCATCAGCAAGTTGATGCTCATATCTTTTGTCTGAACTATTGCAGATCATTTGGACACATTTATATGGCACAGCAGGGGAGGGTCTTCGTTCATAACTACTGTAGTTCTCATCTTACACATCAGTGACAGCCGTCTCTGTCTTCTTGTGTTATAAAGGAATAAAACCAGTTGCACAATAAAAATTAGAGAAGAGGCTTATTTTTCAAATTCTGACTCTCATTCTAGATTTGATGACTTGATGGCCAACATCCCACTGCCTGAGTACACAAGGCGAGATGGCAAATTGAACTTGGCCTCTAAACTGCCAAACTACTTTGTTCGGCCAGATCTCGGTCCCAAGATGTATAATGCTTATGGTAAGGAGGAAGTGTCTAACTTGTAAAAACTGCACTAAATATGAAGAAGTCAAAATGCTTGGAAAATTGATTTTAGGAAAAGGAGAAATGGAAAATAGCTAACATTTAACACAACACCTGCCTTCATTCCTTGGTCAAATGTTTATTTCCTTTCCATAGCTGTAGGTATAAGGCGTGTGAAGTTTTGTATTTGTGTCTTCTCTACACTGTTTTATATTGCAGAAATTTCATGTTTATTTAGGTCAGTCTGCTAGCGTTTTTTCAAGCTGTTTAATATCTGATACACTTAGATGCAGTGTTTTGTGTTGATGGGTAGAAGTTAGTACTGAAAGCACTCTTTGAATTGGATTTTTATTGTTTGGACATGAACGCTGTCCAACAGGAGGATTGCTTGGGGTAAAAGTTGATTTCTGTATTCACCATTTAGCTTTTTGTCATTACTTTAACCTCGACCAGTTTCAGCATAGGGTCTCCCATTAGGATAAGATTCAAGTTGGCTATTTTGAAGAAATTACCTGCCAATTTATTGTTTTTTTTTTTTTTTTTTTTTTGTTTTCTTTTTGTTTTTTTTTTTTTTTTTTTTTGGTTTTTCTCCGGTACCGGGAACCGAACTCACGACCTTGCGCTTGCCCGGCAGGCGCTTTTGTCACTGAGCTAAATCCCCAGCCCCCAATTTATTGTTGAATGAAATTCCACCTATTTGAATCTTACAGTGAACTTTATTTACTTCTTTAAAAATATTTGGCTGTCATTTTTCCAGTTCTCTTAGAAACTACTGCTTTGATTTTATTTCCTCCTCCCATAATTATTTCCATGTCATCTTAGACCAGAGGCAGCCCTCCTCAAAAAAGGACAATCCTTTGGTGTCCTAGCCAGTCCCAGTCCCCCGTATCTGTCATGGCTGAGTCAGCCCAGAGAACCCCACCAGCAGTGTAGTTGGGGAACATTCTAAGAAGTGGGTGTTTGTGTTTAGAAGCTTCCAACAGTCCTAAAGTGCCCCTGGTAGTTCTGCCAAGGCAGGGTGAGAAACAGTGAGGAGAAAGGGCAGGCAGAAGTCCTCTTGCTCGTTGCCTCCTCCTGGGGGGCTCAGCGAGCCCTGTGTGTTACATGGACCTGCCGTGCATTTCCCGTCCGCATTCCTTCCCTCGCGCCTTTCTGCACCTGATCAAAGCTGCTGCACGGGGCAGCATCCCGGGCACAGTGGGGCTTCACCGTAAATGTTTGGTATGTGAAAGCTTATTTCCGCTAATGTCAGCTAGTGATTATCTAAGCTTTACAGGTATCATGAAGTTTTGTAGGGTATCTTGAGATATTTTCAAAATTAATATTTTGAAAGCCTGGTTGGTTTAAATAGCTTGGCAGTGGGTCTTTTCTTCCTAGGCAGTAAGAGATAGGTGGCAGTGTTACTCTGTAAAAGCTTTTTCTCTGACGAAATTGTGCCCATGCAGAAGCAAGCAGTTAGAGGTTAGAAAAGAATACAGATATGTTGTATTTTATTTTCCTTATCATAAACATTGAAGTTTGTGGTATTTTGTCTCAAGATGTTTTCTGAGAATCCTTTCCCTGTGACTATTATGCCCTTAAAATCTTTGTTCAGTGGAGTTCAGCTCCCTCACTTTAGAGTCCTGTTTCATTAACGTGCAGTAACTCAAGGCTGGGACGGAGGCCAATGCTGAGTAGGTGTCATTTCCTTCCTCGTTCAGCACAGCTCTTCTTTTACTCGGGGAGGTTTTGGCCAGACCAGCAAGCAGCCCCTGAGGTGGCTTTGAGACCTGTTCTTGTTCCTTCGCCCTTCTTCCCCGCTGAACACCACCTCTGAGTCTTAACCATCTTCCTGCACTCCGTGTTCATCCTTCCCTTGTAGGGAGTACAAGAGTGCATACATATGCCTCTGCTTTTAAGGGGTCTGTAAGGAGAATTAACCTTCTTGGTATTCATTCACACTGGCATAAGTAAATGTTGCATCTGTTTTATTTCTAGCACATTAATGGCTTATTTTCTTGCTAACTTTTCACAGTGGAAGCATTCTCAAAGCACATTAGAAGCTTGAGAGTCTAGTACAGCAACTCACCATATACTCATCACGTAGGGACAATGGCTGCTTTTGTCATTTATTGCTTCATTATCTCTTCCCTTGATATTTTTCTTTCAAATATTTTAAAGCACATTTCATGTATCCCATGGTTCTACCCTAATACCTAATGCTTTACCTGCTCCTGGAGAGGATACTTCAGCAGGTGGGAAAGAAAGCAAAGTATGACAGGGCTCTAGGACTTGCCCCGGGCTGCCTGGATGTAGCGCAGCCTCCTAAGGATATCACCTCAAAACCGCAGCCCCACACAAGCCAGAGAGATCAGGAGGGTCTTTTCAGAGGCTGCAGGCTGAAACTCGCCTCTGCTGACCCCTTAAACCATGCTTCTCTCTGCCTCCCAGTTTGAGAAGCCGGGTCCTGGTGTCAGGATAGGCTGTCCAGGGTGATGACAGGACAGGGATGGGAAAACTTCAGAGGAACTGCTGAGCAAGGTGCGGCTCCCGCAGGGACGGAGTTGGAAAAACTCACTGCCTGCTGGAGGGAACCTCACATGCGGCTCGGCACACTGGGCAGGTTCCTTTCACTGAGGCCTCAGTTGGGGTGTGCGAGCAGGGCACTTTCAGCAGATTCCTCTTCTTGAGTGGACCTTAGATGCTGTCTCTTGTACTCAACCCCTCCTAGGCTATCACAACCACCCCTTGAGCTCACCTAGTTAAATGTTCTTCCAGCAAGTCCCAGCTTCAGGAGTCTGCTTTACCACTGCAGTTAGTTGCTTTCTACTTTTTGGTTCTCAGTGTCCTTGCCAGCACATTGACCTTTTTGTCGTTACTTTCGGTAATTTCACCCCCACTGTTTCTAGTGTTCTCAGCAGCAAGATTCCTGAAGGGTCCTCCTTTGCTTATCAACAGTAGTTGCAGAGTTGAGGATAGATTTTATTTTTATAATTCTATATTTGAAAAGAGATTTTCTTTCAAAAGTGGAAAGGATAAAAAACTTGGTGCCTTTATTTCTGATAATTAAAGAGAAGTTTTGTGATCAAGTATAAGACCTAAGACAGCCTTTGTTGTCTTCAGTAGACTTACAGGATTTTCTTTTTGCAGGATTAATCACTCCAGAAGATCGGAAGTATGGGACCACAAATCTTCACTTAGACGTATCTGACGCAGCTAACGTCATGGTGTATGTGGGAATTCCCAAAGGACAGTGTGAGCAAGAGGAAGGTACGAGTTGAGGATGAAAGTGGGGCTTACTGTCTGAGCAGGAGCTTGTGCTCTGACACCTGCTTTCTTTCTCTAGAAGTCCTTAGAACCATCCAAGATGGAGATTCTGATGAACTCACAATAAAGCGATTTATTGAAGGAAAAGAGAAGCCAGGAGCCCTCTGGCATATATATGCTGCTAAAGACACGGAGAAGATAAGAGAATTCCTTAAAAAGGTGTGCTCCCTATCCCATGGCATGTGAGGAGGGATGTAAGAATAGCAGTTATAAATGACTGCACGGTGAGCTGACTGGCATGTCAGATTGGCAAGGCTGTGGTGGTTGCTAAGGAACAAAGATTCTGAAAGATTGGAATTGCATTTCTCAAAGGAGGAGGGCTTGTCTTTTATGTCTATTTTGTATTATAGTTTATTTAGAGATCTGTATTCTGTAGCTTCAAGTTAGGTCATCTCCTATATGTATTTGTTTTATTGCCTTGAAAATCTGAAGACTTCAGAAGTTCATCTGTCAGGCCTTGGCCTTGAACTGAGTTAGTAAGGTCTCTACTGATGTTGCTTGCTCTGTTTGGTGAGAGGCCCTGTTTGTGTCCTTAGCAAGGGGCTGTAGGGGTGGGGAAGAGTCTGGAGTCTGGTTTCCCCATAGTTTGCATTTTGTTCGGCAAGGGCACTGTGCGGAAAGTTGTTTTTTCACTTGCTCAGGGTAGAGGCCGCTCATTGCATCCCAGGTATTTTTGACTCATAATCTTTTCACTTATTTCCTTTTTTTTTTTTTTTTTTGGCCTGGGAATCAAACTCAGGACCTTGCACTTGCCAGGCAGGCATTTATGCCACTGAGCCTATATCCCCACCCCGGCTCACAATCTTTTGTATTTTATAACTCAGATGGTTAGGTGAGTACTGTTCTTTAGCAAAACAACCTTATTTTTGAGGAGCTTGAACCTGCTTAAAGGTCTAGACCAACATACCATGTCCAAGAGCATTAGTTACAAAAACATGCAGACTGCCCGGTGATGGTTTACAAGAAGCAACAGCAGGGAATCTATGACTTTTCTTTGCCATGCTTCTCTTGATTCACTTGGTTGATGTTTTGGGACCCTTTTCATTTTTCTGCCAACAAGAGAGCTTATGTTGAAGTCACCCTGACCCAGGACGTCTCTCCGGGGCGGGGTGTGTCGTGCGGTCTCAGCATGTTGCTCAGCTGCACGACCTTCTCGATGTCTTCCAGGTGTCTGAAGAGCAGGGCCAAGAGAACCCGGCAGACCACGACCCTATTCATGACCAGAGCTGGTATTTGGACCGGTCATTGAGGAAGCGTCTTCATCAAGAGTATGGAGTTCAAGGTTGGGCTATTGTACAGTTTCTTGGGGATGTGGTGTTTATCCCGGCAGGCGCTCCACATCAGGCAAGAACCATCACTTTTTCTTTTGTGCTCTTTCTAGTGTGAACGTTCGAGTTTGTTACTGATGTGGCTTGCTGTTTTTCAGGTTCATAATTTATACAGCTGTATCAAAGTGGCTGAAGACTTTGTGTCTCCAGAGCATGTAAAACACTGCTTCTGGCTTACTCAGGAATTCCGTTACCTGTCACAGACTCATACCAACCATGAGGATAAATTGCAGGTAAAAATGGCACCGAGTGTCAGCTTTGGCTCCCTTTGGTTGCATGGCTGCAAAGAAAGTCGGTGAAATTGGCCATGTCACACCGGGTACAGTGAGTTACTGAACTGGCTTTATGTCTGCTTCCACCACCTACTTCAGTGAAGAAGGAACAGAGCTAGAGGAAACTTCACTTTGGTTTGACAGTTTAAACTCTTTGTGGCACTAGCTCCCAAGAGAAAGACCTTAGTATAAAAAAATAACAGATGGAACTTCGATCCTGACGTAGCTGCCACAGCCAGCCATGCTCTGGAACACAGTGCTTGACCTTTTGCTGCAGTATTCGAGCTTACATAGAGTAGAACTGAATCTTGGCAGTCAAAAAGGGGTAGTATTTTGAAAGACTGCAAATAGTAAATTATGTAGTATCATTTCATTGTTGGAAAATTAGAAAAATGTAGAAACTCTGAACAAAAAGTGTACCTGGAGACTTACCCTCACCCTGCGCTCACCAGGGTCATGTGGTATCAAAATCCATAGAGGGAAGAAAAGGAGCTTTTAAGTTCTTCAAAGGGGGTGTGTGGGTTTTAAGTGTGGGTAAAGTACTGCTCGAAAGGAGCCCAGGGCCCTTTCTAATAGTGGCATTTCATACAGAATACTGACTTTTTTATATTCTGAAAGAAAGCAGTAAAATTGGAGGTAGTAAGGTGTTTATTCGTCGTGACAGATTTGAGATTTACTGGTAAAACCATCATCTCTTCTTCCTTTCTCTCAGGTGAAGAATGTTATCTACCATGCAGTGAAAGATGCAGTTGCTATGCTGAAAGCCAGTGAATCTAGTTTCAGCAAACCTTAATCCCTGCACATTGGAAGTGAATTGTTGGCAGCTGTTCAAACTCTTCAGGCAGGATTCCTGTGGACTTTGAGATTTCATGTTACCTCATCTTCTTTTTTAAAATATACCCAACTTGTGAGGGTACTCTGTCTAATGTATATTTCTAGTGTTTACAGACACTAAATGTGTATATGTAGTAACTATTTACAGAAATGCATCCTTAAACTGTGACTTCTCACCTAATGCAGATCTTTTACCAAGTTGTAAAAACAAAACCTCGTATCAGCTCTGGAACAGTACCTGCAGTTATTCTCCAGCTGTTTGTTTGGACAGCTTAGTCAAATGCGTTTATAACTATTAGGAATCACTGCACAGTTGATTTGGGTTTTATTTTATCTGTCTCAGTGCCCTCCCCCCACCCATTTGGGCCCAGAAAAGCGATGGAGGAAGTGACAGCTAATGATGCAGTTCTCATTGTACTGCATAGAACTGGCATTATATAGCGGAAATCAACTACTGTACATTTCTTGGGGTTAACCATCTTTAGTTAAATGGAATTTTAATTTAAAAGCAGCTTTGCTAATTTTAAGTGTAAGCATTTTGCATTAAAATATTCATATAATATTTCATTTAGTTTATTGACATCCTCTGACTATGAACTCAACACATCTTTTAGCAAATGCAGGTTTAAGAGATTGCTGCACGAGCACTTTTTAAGAGCAAAGTAATTAAGTCCTGTAGTGATTTCTTAGTGATTGTTACAATGCTGACATGGGAAATTTTTCCCCAGAGAGAAGCTGTCACACTTTTTCAAAGGAACACCACCAATTAGCTAAATTTAGAAATTGGAATTAGCAGCAGCAACAAAAAAAAAAAAAACCACATAGTGACTGGCTAGTCCTAAAAAGGTTAAGAGATTGAAATATTTTGTCTTCTGGTCCTTTGTCATAAACTTTACAAAGGAGAAATACAGTTTCAGAGCAGTGGTATCTGAAATACTCATCTCTCTGGAAAAGAAAAATTCACAATGCAGCCACCGCTGTGATGAGGCATTTTGAAATCAAGTGGTAGACAGACCGGAAGCCTGGTGCTGACCTGTGGCTGAGGAGGTCAGGATCCCCATCTGCCGCCAGCCACCTGGAAGCCAAACCTTCAATGGATGAGGTTTTGAAACAGGGAAAAGTTGTCCCTGAAATGTCTTTAGAAGTCCCTTTATTCAGATTTGGGTTGAGAATCAAGAATAGGAAAACTAGGAACCTCCAAAAAGGTGGCCACCTTCAAGCCAGGCTTTGACAGGAGCCCCACAGATAATTAGATAAAAAGACTGCTAGTCAAAATCAAATGTAACAAGATAGACAAAAAGCCCCCAGCCAGGCATGATGGTTCAAGCCTATAATCCCAGCATTCAGGATGAGTCTAAAGTCAGACTAGATTAGAGGGTGAAACCGTATCTCAAGAAACAACAAACCAAAAAGCCACCATAAACAAGAGTCAGCCCAGACCTTCAATCTGTTACATCTGCAAAGGTTGCAGGTTCTGGAATGATCCAGTACATATTCTGAAATGTTTAAATGATTAGGGATTATGTCTAAGACAGTGCCAGAAATGACCAGGCTTAAAAAAAAGTAAATAGAACCTTTGAAGTGAAGGATGATGTTTTTGTTTGTTTGTTTTGTTTTTTTCCCCCCAGTACCGGGAATCAAACTCAGGATCTTATGCTTGCCAGGCAGGCACTGTGCCACTGAGCTAAATCCCCAGCCCTCCCCGCCCCCCTGCCCCCGGTACCGGGAATCGAACTCACAACCTTGCGCTTGGCAGGCAGGCGCTGGAAGGATGATGGTTAAAATTAGAAATTCAACACAAGATAAACAGCAGAAAACTACTCTTAACTGGATGATTGGAAGAAATGGATGAAACAGCACTGAAGAATAGGAAACAAAGATGCTAACTTACAAGGACACATTTAACCAGTGACAGCTAAAAGAACTGGGGTAGGAGAATTTTTCAGTATGGATGACATGTCATCAGACTGAGGAAGCCCAACTAACTTAAGGGTACATTTAAAAATCCATAGCTGTGTGGTATTATGTAGTAATAATACCACATGTTCCCAGCTTTAAATGGTCCAACTTACGGACTTTTCAACTTGCTCATGGTGTGACAGTGATACCATTCAGTAAACACGTACTTCAGATTTGGAATTTAGATCGGTGCCGGGCAGGCAGTACATGGCATGACACTGTCCTGTGATGCTGGGTGGCAGCAGCCGGCCCAGCTCCAAGCCAGCCCCCCGACAACCATGAGGAGCAACTCCCGTCACTCCGCAGAGTGCTGCGTTGCTGAGCTAGGACGTCTGGTTAGATTAGGCACCTGGAACACAGCCCCATCCTAAGTTAAAGAGCATGTGTAGGTTGTTACCAGGATAAGCTTGGGGGCCCACAGCAGGGCTGGGCATGGCACACATGATCAAGGAAATGACAGTTGACAGTTGCAGCAGCAGACATGAAGCACAGAAGTAGATGCCATTCAAAATGTGGCAGAAGTCTACGGCTGGCCAAGTTAATTTCCCTGTTCTTTATATTTTCAGACCTTAGCCAAAGCAAAATCTAAGGATAACCTTAGGAAATTATTCCACAAATGCAAGAAAAAATGGCGTAAAAGGAAAATTCTAAACTGAGACAAATTTAAACACAAGTAATGTAAATTATTCCATCTAGAGGAAGCTAGAGGAAGACTAGCTTCCTCTCAGAGTTAAACAGGGTTACCAGCCGTAGTGCATGTATACCCAAAAGAATTGAAAGCAGGTTCCGATACTTGTACCCAGTGGTTACAGCAGCACTATTCCCGATAGCTAGTGTTTATATAAAGCAGCAGCATTCACAGCGGCCAAAATGTGGAAGTAACCCAGTGTCCAGCAGCAGATGGATGGGTAAACATATGGATTATATATACGTACACAAAGTGGAATATTACTTAGCCTTAAAAAGGAAATAAATTTCAAATGCTACCACACGGATGAATCTTGAACACATGGCAAGTAAGCCAGGTGTGAAAGGACAAATAATGCATAATTTCATATAATGAATCTAGAGTAATTCAGTGCATTAAGACAAAAAGTGGAGTGATAGTTACCAGGGGCTGAGAGGAATGGAGGAAGGAGGAATAGTGTCTTGGGTAGTATATTTTTTAATGATGAAAAGTTCTTGAAATGGATAATCAAGATGGATGCAAAACATTGTGAAGGTACTGAATTGTTCACATACTAAAAAATGGTAAGTTTTGAGTACGTTTTACCACGATTAAAAAATAATTATATGTAGGGAAAACTTTTGAAGTTGAATAAGAAAAGTGCCAATTTAAACAGTTTATACAGGCACTAAACAAGGCACAGGACCACTTTTCTAAATATTCCCATTGGCAGATACAGATCATTGGACTGGATTAATGAGTAAAGGACTTGGATGCATGCTCTTTATAAGAGATACTTCGCTTACATTAAAAGTGAAAGCTTAGAAAAAAGGCAAGCAGGGTATATACTTAAGGCAACAAATGGCTGTGTTAATGATTTTAAGATAAAGGCTAACCAGCATTTTCACCATCAGTATCAAGTCATTAGGTATGTACCTAATAAAGTTGCAAAATAACAAAGTAAAATTCAATAGGGAAAAAGAAATGGATAGACATAAAACCAATAGAAATATAAAATATTGAACACTTAAATAGATACAACACTAAAGCCAGGAATTAGAATCTACATTCTCACATGCACATGGATTATTCACCCAGAAGGATCAATATACTGGCCCAGAATGCAGTAGTGAATTTACAAAGTATATAAATGTGTATTATGTTGTAAAGATAATGGGAACATAAATCACCAAATGTTGAAACATTAATGTACAATTACATCTATCAAGAAATGAGAATGGAAATTTAAGTATTTGGAAGAGAATAATAAAACACATCAAACTGGTGGGATTAAGCCTAAAACAGGTGCTTAGGAACTTAACGGCTTTAAATTATTTGTAAGAAAAAAATTAAATTTGCACATCTAAGCCCAATAAAAGCAGAGGAAATACAAGAGCAATAATCAGTGACAAACAAGAATATTAAAGACAGCTATAAATTCTTTGAAAAGGTTAAAATGGTTAAGTCTTTGATAAGGCTAAGAAAAAAGTGGTAACTGCAGATTCTATGGATGTTCAACTAAGGAACTGTTAAGTCTTGCCGGTACAGTTGATATCTTGGAAGAAATTCTTTGAAAAATAACTTCATGGAAGTAGCATAAGAAAATATATATAGTTTTAGATCTGTTAAAGAAACTGAATCCATAATTAGAAATCTGCCAGACCCACATTTTCACTGAAGTGCTTCTGTCAAACAAAAGCAATAAATAATACCAGTATTACACATTTTTTTCCCACACATATGAAGAGGAAACAATTCCCAACTTCTTTTGGAGGTTATCAATACTAATACCATAACCTGAAACTACTAGGACATTTCAAAGAAATTACAGACTAATAGCCTTTGTTAACACAAAAATCCTCCACAAAATATTAAGGATTATAAACCCAGAAAAAGGATAATGGGACAATACGGGCTTTATCTCAGAAACACAAGACCAGTTTCACTTTGAAAATTCAATAGAAACCTTTGAAATAGCTGTTCCTAATAAATTCTCAGCAAACTAGATATGACAGCAGTTATGAAAAACTACTTAAAACTATATAAAAATAGAATTTCCAAATGCTAGGAAAAAAAATGACTTAAAATAGCAAAAACTGTCATGTTCCTAAGAACACAGTGAAAGATAAGCACGACTTCTACATTGAAAACTAGAAGACAGTATACCATTCCTGGTTGAAACATTCATTTAGATGTCACTTCTCCCCAGATTGGGTCTACAGATTAGTAGAAGCCTTATCTCTTCTGCATGTTGTGATTGAGACACTTTAACGAAGTAACAGTGCCTCCTTTCAGACCAAAACTGACCATTTAAAAAGACCTGGATTCCCTAAGTTCAAGAACCATCTCCTGGTAGAAAATTGCAGATACAGCCACTGCAGTGAGTAATAAATTGTCTTTATATTTGTCCCAGGAGTCACAAAGACTACCAGAACCCATAAAATGGCAGGCTGACTTGTCACCTTGTATGTAGAGTATAATGCTTGTAGAATGCACATGAGGAACTGCTTAGAGAAACTATTCCACAGCCTTAAAAGCACTTAGTAAAAACAAAATAAGACTGAAGGGGGGCGCTGAATGTTTAAATCAAGGTAGAAGTAAGCCTGCAGTACAGAAAAAGAAGCGGTTACTGTAGTAAAAGCAGAATTTAATAGGAATGATTAACAAAATCAAAGGCTGACTATATGAGTCCATTTTTCATTACGATGTCTTAAGGTGGGTACTTTATGAAGAAAATAGGTTTATTTAGCTTACAGTTTGGAGGCACTCAGTACAAATGGGGCAGCCTCAGCCACTTGGCGAGGGCTTCGTGACAGATGGCATCACAAAGGTAGCAGCACATGAAAGAGGGAAAAATCTTGTCAAGCCAGAAAGGTTCAGGAGTTGGGCAGTCTTTATGAAAACTGGCTCTCAAGAAAACTCACTGCAAGACCAGCTTTAGCCCCTCCCAAGGCAGTCCCCACATGATCTAACCTTGCACCAGGCCCTACCACTCAGGGTTCTGCTACCTTCCAATACCACTATACTGGGGACCAACTTTTTATCACATAAGCTTCTGAGGGACAAACTATCCAAATCATCCCACTGACTTTGAAAAAAGTATTTAGACAGGCAAACTTCTGGCAAGACGTATGAAGAAAAAGAAAGGACAAATGAAAAATATTAAAAGTACAAGTATAGGGGCTGGGGATTTAGCTCAGTGGCACAGTGCCTGCCCAGCAAGCACAAGGTGGTTGAGTTCAATCCCTGGTACTGGAAAAAAACCAAAAATACCAAAAAAATTGAATAAATTACAAGTATAAATATAGGTCTTTAAGTGACTAAGACAATTTTTTAATGGACAATTATAGAAAAATATAAAAACTGATCATCTGGACAAATACTACTAAAGGGATTACATTATTAGTCAAAAATCTTGGCAATCTCACCAGGCATGGTGGTGCATGCCTGTAATCCCAGCACTTGGGAGGCTGAGGCAGGAGGATCGTTGCAAGTTCGAGACCAGCCTGAGCTACAAAGTGAGCTCAAGGCCGGCCTGAACTGCATAGTGAGACCCTGTCTCAGAAAGACAAAAAAAAAAAAAAAAAAAAAACCTTATCACTATCCATAATCTCCAAATGGTACCAGGCACAGAGAGTTTTACAAGTGATTCTGTACAACATTTACCAAATAATCATTTATGAAAAATAGTCAAGAGGATAGAAAACAGGAAACAGATGCTTTTATTAATGCTAGTTTACTTGATAATAAAATCTGAGGACAATACCAAAAAAAAAAAATTGCAGGCCAATATTACTTACAAACATACTTGCAAAAGTCCTATATGAAATAGTGGTGGATTCAAATGCAATAACATATTAAAATGTTATAAAAAAAAAACTGCTAAGAAATGCAAGACTAGTTTATTATGAGTAAAATAATGTTTAGTAAAATTAACATTTTTACTGTTGTAAAATACATGTAACAAAATCTGTTTTAAACACTGTAGGTATAAAATTAAGGGTACCAATATATTCAACAATTTTGTGTAAACATCACCAGTATCTATTTCCAAAATTTTCATCACCCCGAACAGAAAATCTGTTCTCATTAAGCATTAAGTCCCTTTTTGTCTCTACTCTGCCCCTGGTAGGCTCTAATCCTTCCCTCCTTTTTCTTCTTTTTAAATATGGCTTTATGTTGTGTCATTTCAGCCCTTAAGACTTGCATTAACGTTTACAGTAGTAGTGAATTTCTTTAGCTTTTTTTCAGAGTCTTACTTTCCCCATTGTTGAAGGGTGATTTTGCTGGATATGGAACTCACCCTTTTTTTTTTTCCTTTCAGCATGTTAAATGTTATCCCACTGCCTTCTGACCTCCATGGTTTGTGATCAGAAAGTATGTGTTAATCTTACTGAGGATCCATTTTAGATGGTGAGTCATTTCTCTTTGTTGCTTTAAAGATTATCTTGGTCCTCTACTTCCAGTGATTTGATATCAGCTGTCTTAATGTGAATGTTTCAGTTCATCTTATCAGAGACTTGAGCTTGTTCAGTGAACTTTCTCAGATTTGGGAGGTTTTAGGTCATTTTTTAAATACTGTTTTTGACCTTTGCCAAGATGCATGTAATAGTGAGCTTGATGATTTTCCCCAAATTTCTTAAGCTGTGTTTGAGTTTTCTCATTCTTTTAGTTCTATTTTCAAGTTTTCTGATCTTTCTTCCACCTCTTCAGATCTTCTGTTTAGCACCTTAATATGTTGTTCATTATAACTACTGTACATTTCAACTCTAAAATCTCCATGGGGCACCATGTTATAATTTGCCTCTTTGTTTTCTCATTTTGTTCATAGTTGTCCTCATTTCTTTTAGTTCATTGTCCATGATTTTCTTTTAATCTTCCCATCTTTAAAGCAATTATTTATACTCTTTCACTTCAGGTAGGTTTACTTCCTTTTTTAATGGGTTTCCAGTGTTTTCAAGCAATGCCTGCTGTTTTTCTGCCAAGTGGGTTCTGAGTTAGGCAAACAAAGAGGTTTTAGTTCCTCTTGTGTTAGTTCTCCAAACAGGTTAAGGCAGGCTGTGTTTTCTTGGGAGTCCGAGACCATGGTCCGGCACTGAGAATGTGGGTGGCTGTTGGCTACCAAGCTGGGGAGGAGGTGGGGGAAGGGCAAATGAAACTTCTTCTACCATTTTAAAGTTTCCTTTTTAATTCAACATTTGCTTGGTTGCTATAAACTTTTGTTTTCTGGAGTTCTGACAAACTGGATTCTAACATTCTGTGGTTGTCTTTTCCAGGTTTCTCTGGAGGGATGGGTGTTTGGACTGTGCTTCACCATTTTGCTGAAGTCATTCTATAAACATATTTTTGAGTTATAATTATGTGAAGAGAACTTTCTTACCTTAAAAGAAAAGTTACTTCTCTACTATGGCATTTCTAAACCTGGGTTAGTGACTGAAGGGTATTAAGTTTGCTATCCCAAAAGATTACCTTGATCAAGTAATTTGAAGATAGCGTATGAGAGACTGGAGCGCTGTAAGGAAACCTGTTTTATGTTATTTTACTCAAGCATTTTCCAAGCGTATCTCACTGTTAGGTCCCTTCTAACTGGCGATACAGATTGGCATTTAAAGAGCATTTGTCACTAGGTTAAAATGAGAAAAAATGGTCTAAGTTCTTCAAAGCGTGAACATTACTATTTTTCACGGTTGTCAGGACCATAGTTTTGAGGCACAGAGTGGATGTGACTGGTACTATCTGAGAATCACTGTGAGTCCCCTTCTCTTCAGAAATTCCAAGGTAAACATCTAGAAATAATACAAGGGTGGCAAAGGCCATGTGAGCTGTACAGCGGGCTGGTAAGTGCTCAGCAAGGCATCTTTGCTCCAAGACAGGTGAACAGTGGGGCGGAGGCAGGTCCTGTAATGCCTGCTGGCAGGAAAGTGCTTTTGAAAAGAGTAAGCAAGTTTGGAAACAATACAATAAATGGTAACGGGTGCTTAGTGGATGGTTTCATAGGGGAGTGGTGGGTGGAAGCTGGTGCCGCTGCTGCCCCACCCAGTTTGAGCACTTAAGAACAGAGGAAAACGTCTGTTGCAGGTCTGCACATCAGTTTTTGCCTTCCGAATTGTAGCCCTTCTAGGGCTAAAATAGAATCTGACACACTTTGTCTCCATATAACCAACAAGCATATGAAGGGATAAAAAGAATACATCACATAAATAACAAGCCAGTTTTACTCTTTAGTCTGAAAGAAGGAATGGGGGAAAAAAGGACCTGTTCAGAAACTAAAACAAAGCAACTCTTATGTTTAAATCGCTTTATTTGAATGATTAGAGAGTCTGTTGTTACTAATCTGGCTGGCCAACCACCCACATGGATAAAGTTTTGACTAGTCAAATAAATAAAAAATGCTGAAGGCTTATGGGATTCCTGTATTCCAATATCATTCAGGGAAGAAACTAGCCATACTAATATCATAAAACTCTACTATGTCATTGTCAGTATGTCAGTTCTCACTTGATCTCTGGATTCAGTGCAAACCCAGTAAAAACCCCAGAAAGTTTTTTTTTTTTTTTTTGGTTTTTCTCCGGTACCGGGAACCAAACTCACGACCTTGCGCTTGCCAGGCAGGCGCTTTTGCCGCTGAGCTAAATCCCCAGCCCCTACCCAGAAAGTTATTTTAAAGATCTTAACAAACTGACCCTAAGTTTGTAAGTGGTAAAAGACCAGAATAGCCAGTATAATACTGAAAGAGAACAAAGTCAAAGGGCTAATACTACCCAGCTTCAGGAATTATAAAGATACAGTCATTAAGACACTGGTATTGGCAAAAGAACAGAAAAGTCAATCCAGTAGAACAGGTAAGTCCAGAAGTGGGCCCACACAAATGCAGTTGACTGATCTGTGACCAAAGAATAAATGCAGTACAACAGAGAAAATATAGCCTTTTCAACAAATGCTGAACCTGGACAGCCACGTGCAAAAATATGAATATATACAGACTTTAACATCTTTCATAAAAATTAGCTCAAAATGGATTACAGATTGTTACTAGTCACTTTCCCACCACTGGAACAAAATACACAGCACAGCTGCAAAGAGGGGAGGGTTATTTTGGCTCACAGCTTTCAGAGCAGTTGGTCCATGGCTGGCTGGCTCCAAAGCAGAAATGGCACAGAAGAAGGGTGCGGCGGAGGAAGGCTGCCCACATGGCACCAGGACGCAGAGAGACAGGAGGACCCAGGGACAAGAACCCACCCTGCCAGGTCACGCCCAGGGACTTACCTCCAATCAGGCTGCACCTACCAGCACACTCGGCCATGAACCCACGGGGAGGTGAATCCACTGCTAAGCACCCCATGGTCCAATCACTTTACAGAAACTCCACCTCTAAATGAGACTTGGGAGACATTTAGATCAAAACCGTAACATACACCTAAGTGTAAAACATTAACTCCTAGAAAATAATATAGGAGAAAATCTAGATGACCTTGGGCTTGGTAATGACTCTAAATATAACACCAAAGGGAGAATGCATGAAAGAAATAGTTGGTAAGCCAGATTTCAATAAAGATACAACTTCTACTCTTGAGACACTGTCAGTAGAGTAAGACGATAAACCAGAGACAGGTATAACATATTTGCAAAAGATTTAGCAGACAGATGATTGCTACCCAATATTCACGAAGGACATTTAAAATTCAATAATCGTAAAACGACCTACTTTAAAAAAAAATGAAAGACCTGAACCAGTGAAGATACACAGATAAGGATATGTTAGGTGTTCAGTATTATATGTCACTAGGGAATTGCAAACTAAAACAGTGAGGTACCAATATGCACTGTTAGAATGGCAAAAATCTGGAATACCTGCACACCTCACACTGGCGAGGGTGTGGAGCAACAGGAACTCTCGCTTATTACTGCAGGGGACACAGAGGTACAGCTCCTGGAAGACAGTTTGGCAGCCTTGTAAAACTAGATGTATGCTTACCATATTGAAAGGGAGTTGAGCTCCTCAGTATTTATCCAGATGAATTAAAAACTTATGTCCACATGAAAACCTTCAACAGTATTGATAGCAGCTTTTTTCATAATTTCCCAAAACTTCTGGGAGTAACCTAGATATTCTTCAATAGATGAATGGATAAACTACCATACGCCCAGACAATGGAATATTAGTAAAAAGAAACCAGCTACCAAGTCATGAACAGATACAAGGAGGAAACTTGAAATATGTATCACTGAGTCAAGCCCGTCAGAAAAGGCTGTACACTGTGATTCTAGGGATATGATGTTCTAGAGAAGATCAAACTATGGAGACAGTAAAAAGGTCAGTGGCCACCAGGGACTTCGGGGACAGGAAGGAGGAACAGGGCACAGAGAATTTTTAGGGCAGTGGAACCACTGTGCATGATACTGTACTGGGGTTATAGCCACTGTCCATCTGTATCTACAATGTACAAGAACAGTGCATCCTGCCAAAAACTATGGACCCCAAGAGAGGGCGCATCCATGTGGAGGTAAATGCCCCACTCCGACGGGATGTTGGCAGTGGCAAACGCTGTGCACCTGCGGGGAGAGGGAGTCTATGGGAATTCTCTGCTTTCCGCTTAATTTTGTTGTGAACCTAGAAATGTATTTAAAACAAAAACAGTGATGTCCTGCAGATGGGACCAGGACTACCAGGAGGGTACTCTGGATTTAAGGCTCCTGTTTTGTACAGTGAGACTAGAAGGCCCAGTGCAGCAACAGCTGCTGTCAGGACTTCTCCACAGTTGGAACAGCCCTCCTGTCAGTGATTGGACCTCGTTCCTGCCTGATGGGCTCAGTGCATGCAGGACGTGCAGTCGGGAACCTGGGTCTGAACTCCACATCTGCCACTTCCTGACTGTGACTGAAAATACTTCACTTCAGTAAGCTGAGAGGTTCTTCATTTGTGATACAAGAACACATGTATCAGAGTTTTGTAAACCATCAAACATACAAAAATAAAGTGCTACTGTGGAATTATTTAAAAATGTACGCAAGGAGGACCCCAGCTGTGAGTGCTGGTTGGGATGCATGCGCACACCTTGTCTCTCAGTCAGTTCCTGACTTTGAGGAGGTGCTGATGGGTTGGCCCATGGCTTACATACAAGACAAGCAGCCTAAAACAGGCAGGCGATGAGAGGTGAGAGATCCTCATCCCACTGCTGTTCGTTCTGCATGCAACTTGCAGTGGGATGGGAGGGATCAAAGCTGCAAAGACATCCATATCTACACCCCAACATGATACGGTCATCCAGCCATCAGGGCGGAGGGCACAACTCCCACGTGTACTTTGGCTAAATAGATGATGGACTGCAAAAAAGTGGCTCCTATACCACATCTGGGCATGCTGGGGAGTAGCCATCCCCAGGGCAGAAGCCTCTTCTGCTAAGTTTCCAAGTCCCGTGTGCCTTGTACAGCACCTCCTCTTTTTCCCAAGACCAACACAAGAAGTCTGGGAGAGCAACATCTCGAGAGTTCTCTGCACATGACAGTCTACAATGGCACTAAATGTTAAAGCAGAAATTTATTAAAATCCATTTATACAGTGTTTTACACACCCCCCCTCCCCAAAATGCAGAGTTCTCAACATTCAGGCAATCAACTCTGTTCTTAGAATTGCTTCGTAAGAAAAGGGGATTTCTCTGCTTTCCCCAGTAAGATATTTCTGTTTACATTCCTGAAAATGCTGCATTTAATTACACCACCTTCATAAGAACTATCCCTTTGAGATCTCAAAACCTTGCAGAGAGTGAAGAGAGATAAGCACAGAACCTTCTCCCAAACGCAATGCCTCATGACAGAGGTGTAGTGCAAGAGCTACATGGAACGGCCGCCTCTTCTGAGGTGCACGGATGCTGGCGGGCAGGCCATGGGAAGAGCAGGCCCTAGCTGCGGAGTGTGGCCAGCCGGGACTGCATGGCCTCCAGGGCCTCTTCCTCCTCTTCCTCCTCAGAGGCAGCCATGGCTCCTAAAGGTTCAGGCTCAGGAAGGGCATCGGTCACTTTACTGGGTGCTTTGCCTAAGGCTCCTGAACAGAATGAGAAGGAACAGATTAACAACACAGTGATGAAGGAGGTGCTCCCTCAACCCTCCCTGCTTCTTGTTCCTGGGAGAACCTGCTAAGATACAAAGACAGGCAGTGAACAAGCTGTTTTGGTGGCATTCTGTTCACTATGATATGGGCACAAAGCAACTAGTCACAAGATCGAAGTTATAAATTTTTTGAGGTAGGGTTCTCACTATGTTACCCAGGCTAGTCTTGAACTCCTGGACTTAAGAGATCCTTCTGCCTCAGCCTTCTGAGTAGCTGGACTGGAGGTGTGTGCCACCATAGTAGGCTCAAAGCCACAGTACATAATTGCGAGTATATTAAGGATCTTGATTCTACCATGCCTGTAGGCCTGCTACCTGGGAAACAGGAAGGAGGAGTGCTTCAGCCCAGGAGTTTAGGGCCAGCCTAGGCATCAGAGCAAGACTCCATCTCCAAAACAAAAAGGACCTGATTCTGAAACTCTCAAATTCCAAAATACTGCTAATAATTTAATTTTAATCTCTGAACAAAACATTGTTTCTCAATCTTTACAAAAAAATATTTTTGGAATATCTATTCTTTATCCCAACAACTAAAACAAGTGAACAAATATTAAATTCTACCATTTTTATGAACACGTTCATGACAGTGCCATACATAATTCGCATGTCTCACTGCCAGGCAGCTTGAACCACTGGTGGTACATGCATGACTGTCCTTCTGGGCAGCTTTTTATTATTACTGTTTGCACACAAAAATGTGTCTAAGGTTTTTGTCACATAATATATTGCTGACATCTTTCCATGTCAATGAATATAACTCTGTATTGGGTAGACAGTATACTATTAAAATAGACACAGCACAACTAACTCAACCAATATTTCAGTACTAGGTATTTACTTTGTTTCAAAATTTTCACTATTATAAATAATGCTACTATAGACATCATTCAGTCTTTAGGCACACCTTAATTTATTAGAGCAAACAACTAGTAGAAGTCAGTCTGCTAGGACAAGGGCTTTGGATAGTTCCTGCCAGACTGCTTTCAAAAAAGTCTATGCCAACTTAAAATCCCAACAGCAGTGCATGAAAATAATACTCCCTATCACATCATGAAAACTCTAGAAGACCGCTATATTGTGCTTATTTCTTAAGAGATAACTTACATACTAGAAAATCTGAAAATGGAGGAGTTATAGCCTAAAAAATAAAGCAATTGGCTACTTTAGTAAATACAGAAAGAAGGGCCCACAAAAGGAAGAAAGAGGACTCTAATGCTCATACCTGCTGTAATTTCAAAGAGGATTTTGTCAATTTCCATCTCAGCTTCTTCTTCCATTTCTTCTTGATCGTCCATG